TCGAGAGACCAAGTCCAAATCACCAACCGTTAGAGTAGTCGTCAAAGCCAGAGTCCAAAGAAGCCAGTAAGTCAGAGGTCCAAGGTACAGGTCAGGAGCGTAGTCGTACGAGCCGAGGTCAGAAGCCAAGAAGTCAAGACGAGGAGCAGGAACAGGAACACGGGTGGTGAGGTGCAAAGCTTCGCCCAGAATGACTAGTTGCTAGCACAACTAGTCGGCGTGAGTGCGAGAGCTAAATAGCCCATAAGGCTGTCAGCAATTAGTGCGCACTGATTGCGTCCCGGCTCCCGCTAGTACTCAGCACTAAAAGAGCGCCTACCGTGCATCCCGCCCCCAGGATGCCATGTCCCGTCGGCGTTGTTCCCGCAAACGGGATACCGGTGGGGGCGAGTCCGGGGGCGTGTTGCTCCGGCGTGATTCTGCTTCAGCTGGTGCTGGAGCAGTCTCTGTGGCTTCAGTCCTGTCAGGTGCGGGGTTTTCAGGAGCCGGGAGCTCATCCCCAGCAGTACCTGAGCCGCTTCGGCGGGAGGGCGGGATAAAAATCAAATAAATAAATAAATAAATAATACTTAGGCCTTCTGCTGGGGCCAAATGCTCATCCTCAGCAGTACTTAGATCTTCTGCTGGGGCCAAGTGCTCGGGGTCAGAAGTAGCCGTGACACTTCGGGGGGGGCAACAGTGGGAGGGCTTCTGGAGTTCTGGCCCCACTGGTGGACCTCCCGATGGCACCTGGGTTTTGGCCACTGGGTGGCACAGGGTGTGGGCCTGGGCGGCCCATTGGCCTGATCCAACATGGCTTCTCTTATGTCCTTAAAACTACTGTTTAAAAATGTTAGTGAAGAGCGGGGTATAAAAACTAACTCTTCTTCTTCTTCCACCTGACGGGGTTTCTCAGTGACAGTACCAAGATTCTGGAAATTACCACTCAACACAAGCATCTGCCACCAACCCTTCCGAGTTTTAAAAAGTTTATGAAGATCACCTTTTTAAGGCAGGTACTCAGGTTGAGCTGATAACACTAACCATTCTACTTTTTATATCGTATGGGCTCCTGGCTTAGTTACTGGGTTTTAATTAGTTCATGCACTCGTGGTTTGTATCTTATTATTTCAGTGTACTTTGTAACTCTGTTTTAAATTGCCTTACTGTAAGCTGCCTTGGTAATTTTTACTGGAAGACAAAATATACACTTCTACAAACAAAAAAGTATTCTTCTACAGCAGGTAACAAAAGATTATGTCCATAAAAAATAGTATCACAGAACAGATCAGTCAGTGGAGATGGTAATGCATACAACGACTTCAGTTCAGAGGTTCCACCCATCCATGCATCAGGAAAACTCTATGGACTTGGACCCTGAATTCTTCCTCTCTTAGATACGGCCTTCTGCCAACTTTGTCTTTTGTTAAATGTAAGCCCAACATAAGGACTTGGAAGTACATTCTGGTCTCCCTCTATAGTTTCCAAAATCACTGCAGCTCATCTGAATTAAAATAATATATGCATACACTATTTTCTTCCTCCTTCTCATAAAGCAAAATTTAGCAGTAGATCTTTTGGAAACACACACTTTGGACATCTTTAGGGACTATAAGAGCAACACAAGAGACAGGAAAATTCCTTAAAAACGACACAAAATTATGGAAAGACATGTGTCATTTCACTAAGACCCTACTGGAATCTGGCAGTATTTACACCTCTGCCTACCTCTGTGATCCACAGACAAAATGTTGTATCTGGTGTAGTACAAAGAAAGGCTTCTCTGAGCAAGCTTTGGGATGTCATTTCTACTACTGGGCTGATTCCAGGTGTTTTTCCCCAAGCTTCCTCAAAAGTATGTAAAGATATTTATGGACAAGATTCTTAGTACATGTGTATGTACATTTCTTAGTCTCCTGTTGCACACTTTTCCTTCCCCTTACATATTTCAAGCCTCATCAGAAAGATAGCTTAATTAACCTGTTTAAGATGTAGCATCCAACAAGAAATTCTTTGTTGAAAAAAGTATCACATTTATATTTTCTAATTGTTTTACAAATACATGCTGGGTATGAAGACTTTTAGGCTGCCATCAAATGACCCAACAAGCCTGGTTTAGAATTTTGGTCTGCAAAGCAAGAATCAGGACAGGCCATGTTATCCAATAGTGGCACATGAAGGGAAGAAATAGCCCCAAAACTGCAAAGCTTGCTCTTGCATCATAGAAGCATAGAATGTTAGAGTTGGAAGGGATCTTGCAGGTCATCTAGTCCAACCCCCTGCACTCTACAGGCACATAGCCGAAAGATAGCCCTACAACATACCTGAAAGATGGTCGTCCAGCCTCCGCTTGGTAATGTCCAGCGAAGGAGCATCCACTGCCTCCCGAGGCAGTCTGTTCCACGGCTCAACCACTCTTACAGTTAGGAAGTTTCTCCGGATATTTAGCCGGTAACGACTCCCTTGTAGTTTCCACCCATTAGATCTAGTCTTGCAATCCGGAGCAAGAGAGAATAGATCTGCTCCATCTTCTACATGACAGCCCTTCAAATACTTGAAGATTGTAATCATGTCTCCTCTAAGCCTTCTCTTTCCCAGGCTAAACATACTCAACTCTTTCAGCCTTTCCTCATAAGACTTGGATTCTAACCCTCTCACCAGCCTGATGGCCCCTATTCTGGACACGCTAGATTGATTCCTCTTCTGGAATCAAACAAACCAGTCTTATTTACTGTCTGAATGCAGCCTTACTTGACTTCTGAATATTCATTTCATAGAACTTAGCCATTTCACACACAAACAGCTAAGAGTTCTACTTGATTTTGAGCAAGCGTGGACTGGGATACTGATTTATGGAAATCAGTCTAGCAGAAAGATATTTTTTTTCATGTGTAGACAGACAGATGCATAGTTTGAGTCCCAGATAATTTGAAAATGTGACTTTTCAAAGAAAAGAGCCAAGCAAGAATTCACAGTGAAGTCCAGTACAAGATACAGCCATTTCGATATAAGGAAAACCCAAAATAAATATGAAAAAACCCTAAATAATAAAGTGTAATTTTATTTAGTATATTTGGCACAAAGCATACAAGAACCTATTGATCCCTTCTCAAATTTAATACAGTTAGCAAAGAAAGGCATACTAATACATTTAAGTTATACAGCATATGAAATCAGGGGCTGGGGAGAAAGGCACCAGGAAAATCAATATTGACTCCAAGTGCCCAGTGGTATTAAATTAAGGCACAACTACGCTAGGAAGTTTACTAGAAAAATCTAAATTTGTAGCTGCTTATTGTTTTTGGAATGTACAAGTTTTTAATCCTACCAGTTTTAGGACCTAGATTTTAGTTCTTCGAAATGGAATGACTGGGCTTAGATAAATCTATCTTACTTTAAGCAGAGAGGATGGAACTTTCCCTAGGACTTAAAAAGAAGGAAAAAAATCAAACATTGCATCGGCTTACCTAGAAATATTGTACTCTGCAAACTTAGTTTATAATCGCACCAAGAAACACAATCTGATTTTGGAAATAAACTTTAAGAGGCTTTCTGGTGTATGTAAACTAGTATGGTGTTCTCATCTGAAATAATTAAATGTGTGCTTAAGAAATAAGTACCATTAATCTCCAAGCAGCTTTGCTGCAATGATGTCTACCTTGATTCCACATTTAACTCAAGTGACATTTTAAAATACTACGCAGAAGAGGCCAAATAAACATGCAAGTTCTTTCTTACGGCTGGGAATCAATGGGTATTTAAGATTCGGCAAAACTAGCAAGAAAGGCCTTGCTTATGAACATATTACATCAGTGGACACCAAATAACCAATTCTACTCCTCTCCCTTCCAAGCAATGCAGACAAAACAAGTTCACTAACCAAAATGAATGCTAAGACATGTAAATGGAATTCACATGTATGTTGCTGCAAGCACAAACTAAAACCATGCCAAACCCATAGTACTCTTCTGGAAACCACTTCTGTTAGTACTATATAGGAACATTTTAATGCTGAGCATAACAGCCTTAAAGAGAACTATTAATCCAACCAAATATTCCTAATGTAATGGATGCTGCAGAGAAAATTTAAAGCTAGTTTTAAGCATTTTTACTGAGGTCAGTAGCAGTATCTGCTTGCTAATTATGCAGCCCTGTGTGCTGGCCAGTATAAAAATTCTCAAAATGGAGTCCTCTCAATTTTAAATTTCTAGCACAGAAACATCACATTGAAAGTACTGTACAGAATGCCCCTATTGTAGAGGGTATCAAATATTCAAAAAATTGATACAAAGATTTGAGCTAATCTTTAGAAAACAATTTCCCTCCCGAAGAGATATAATGCGTGTGATGAGTTATGGAAGTGGTTGAAGCTTTTGAAAACACAATTTTGTGCCACAAATTTTAGGGGATAGACAAAAAAAAATACAGCAGCATCTATTCTAGAATTACATATATGAAACAGAAAGGTATGACGAAGGGTAACCCGGACATGATTTATACAGTGCAAAGATTGGTGGCTCAAGAGCCTAAGTACGGTGAACAGTTTAGTTGCGTGTTATTCACTGGAGCCAACTTGGATCCTCCCCTACCACCTTACTTCAAGAAAGTTACAATGTTCAATTTGCTACGGCATGCAAAACAAGCCACAAGGTGGCCGTCGAGGAACAGAGACCAATTCTTCGTGCCCTACTTTCACAACTACACTGGTGCCATGATTTAATAATGTAGCAACTCAATAACCATGTTCATGCACTTGTGCTTCGGTTCTGCGGCACTTCGCCAAGGAGGACTCAGTTCCATACATCACATCTTGCTGAAACATTCTTTTGCATTCGTCCAAACTTGAATTCCCTTTAGTTAAAAAGAGGAAAGAGGAAAATAACACATTTGAGAAGAAATTGAGAAGAAGCAGGGCAGCTGGATAAAATTGACTATTGACAATCATGTAATATTTCCAGAGGTCATTTCGGGGGGGGGGAACGCGGGGGAACGCAGTTCCCCCGGGTGAGGTGCTCTGCGGCACTTCGCCAAGGAGGACTCAGTTCCATACATCACATCTTGCTGAAACATTCTTTTGCATTCGTCCAAACTTGAATTCCCTTTAGTTAAAAAGAGGAAAGAGGAAAATAACACATTTGAGAAGAAATTGAGAAGAAGCAGGGCAGCTGGATAAAATTGACTATTGACAATCATGTAATATTTCCCATCCAAACCACTGGGAGTTTTATACTTGTGATGAGGGGAACAGAGAGGATCTTTCATACACAATTCGGGCACAATTCAAGGTGTCGGTGCTGACCTTTCGAACCCTAGATGGTTTGGGAGCAAAATACCGGAGGTGCTGCCTACTCTCTTGTGAACCTACCTGACCGCTACAGTCACCCCCCCCCCCAGTCCTCTGCTTTGGGTGCCCCTGCCTTTCAAGACCAGGTGGATGGAAACCAGGGAGAGGGCTTTCTCAGTCAAAACTCTGGAACGCTTTCCGTATGGAGATGTGTCTGTCCCTTTCAGTTATATCTTCCACCAGCAGGTGAAGACATCTTTGTTTTGTTCGGTGGTCCCTCCTTCGGGCCCAATGTTTTAACTGCTTTTATGTTTTTGTATATATTTTATCTCTGGTTCTAACTGCTTAATGGTGTGCTTTTTGCTCATTTAAAAATGTGATTTCATGATGTCTGTTTTGTCAGCCACCTTGGTGGTCCTTAAAAGGCAGAAAGGCAGGGTATAAATGTTGTAAGATAAATATACATACACCAAAGTAATGCAAGCCATAGGCTCAAAATGAATAAAAGGTATCTCACACCTTCAGGGCAAGAAGAAGAGGAAGAAGAAGAGGAGGAGGAGATTGGATTTATACCCTGCCCTTCACTACCCAAGGGAGTCTCAGAGCGGCTTACAAACTCCTTTCCCTTCCCCTCCCCACAACAGACACCCCCTGTGAGGTAGGTGGGGCTGGGAGAGCTCTTGACAGAAACTGCTCTTTTTCAAGGACAGCTCTTATCAGAACTACGGCTTTCCCAAGGTCATCCAGCCAGGTGCAAGTGAAGGAGTGGGGAATCAAACCCGGTTCTCCCAGATTTGAGTCTGCGCACTTAACCACTACACCAAACTGGCTCTCATTAACAGGCAGCAGCTGAGGGGTGTCCTGATGCTTCTTTCCTGGGAGACTGTCATTATCCTGAGTTAAACTCTGGTTCCCTGTTAAATATACTTGCCCAACAGACATACCTTTTTGCACATACTGATCTGCATCACAGCGTAACTTATGAGGGCCTCTTTCAAGTCATGGTTCTTTTGCTCTTTGAAGCGTTCAATATCAGCCCAGGCACTTTTGACAAAGTCTCTGAAATTAATTGAAGATAAATTAATGGAAGCAGGACATGCATGTATCATACTACCGTAAGCCCAAGCAACACCCTCCAAAACCTACCAGATGAACAGTTGAAACCAAAAGAATAAGCTAAGAAAATTTAATAGTATGGGGAGTACAAGTTCTCGATTTACTTAAACTGAGGTTTAAGTAAATATGAAATATTTGTCATATGACATACTAAGCTGAAAATTTTTGGATGCAGAATTAAATTTAAGATAATCAAGTTTCCTCTAACCTTGTCTGGTGGCAATTTGAGCCCCTTGCTACTTAGTGTCTACATCTTTCAAAAAAAGTATTTCTCTTTGAGGACCTCGTAGTGTGCAACCTGTAATTCCAGAGGGGTAGCCATGTTAGTCTGTTAAAGCAAGAAGAAGTCAAAGTCTAGTGGTTCTTTAAAGAAGACTGCAATGCTCCTTATGTAGGGCGATCCCAGAATATTATCTGGTAGTTTCAGATAGCGATCAAATTCTGTCAGCATGCTGGTTAATCCCTTTATAGCCCTGAACTGTCTGGGACCAGGATACCAGGAAAGAACCTTCACTATAAGCTGGGGCTTGCTCTCTGTTGGTTCACCACTGAAACTCTCTTCCAACAGAGATCCAGAGCCTGCTTAGTTTGAAGTGGCAGACAAAAAAAAATTTACTTTCTCCCAGGCTTTTGAGGTTGTGTTTTTGCTGTTTCAGGGGTTCTGTCTTTTTTTTGGGTTAAACCTTCTGTGTGATTCTTGTTCTATCCCATTAGGTCCCTAATTACTATTTGATGCTGCTCATTATTGCCAACTGTTTTTATGACTGTAGAAAAGAGCAAGGGTCCAGTAGTACCTTAAAGACTAACAAAATTTGTGGCAGGGGAGGAACTTTCGTGAATCAAAGATACAGATCTGAAGAAGTGAGCAGTGACTCTCGAAAGTTCATATGAATCCACAAGGGTTAAGCTGACACTAAATATTATAAACATACAAAATTTATTCAGGTGTACACGTTTTTTAAAAACTTACACTCATTAAAAATATTTACATTCAGACATAAAAAAACTTTTCAACATTCATACATAGATAGGTTAGTGCTGTGCAACTGAACCAAACGCGTTTCGGCCCCAAAGGGCCTTCCTCAGTGGTCACAATCCAAAATACAAACTTGACATACATTCCAAAAAAAAATTTTTTTAACATAAGATGTTAAATACACATATGCAATATAAGGCCAGATGTTGTATCCTTATATATTTATATGTATATTATTGTTGTATATGATAGGCCTCAGGTATAGCCAATTAAAGTCCACCAATACTTCTGGTAGCATAGACTTGCGTGAGTTGAATGTATGTCACTCCATCCTGTACAAATTCTGGTGCAGGATGGAGTGACATACATTCAACTCACGCAATAATATACATATAAATATATAAGGATACAACATCTGGCCTTATATTGCATATGTATTTAACATCTTATGTTAAAAAAAATTTTTTTTAATGTATGTCAAGTTTGTATTTTGGATTGTGACCACTGAGGAAGGCCCTTTGGGGCCGAAACGCGTTTGGTTCAGTTGCACAGCACTAACCCATCTATGTATGAATGTTGAGAAGTTTTTTATATCTGAATGTGAATATTTTTAATGAGTCTAAGGTTTTTAAAAATGTGTACACCTGAATAAATTTTGTATGTTTATAATATTTAGTGTCAGCTTAACCTTTGTGGATTCATAGCAGCTTTTTGGGTTGAGTTTTCTTCCCCCCCCCCCTTTTTTCCTTTTCCCCTTCCGCCCCCCTTTTTTGTTCGTGTCTCGAAAGTTCATACCCTGCCACAAGTTTTGTTAGTCCTCTTGCTCTTTTCTGCTGCTACAGACAAACATGGCTACCTATCTTGCTTTTATGGCTGTTTTACTGTTTATATATACTTTTCTGTGTTTCATTGTATTTTTAACTTGTTAGTCTTCAAGGTGCCACAAGAGTCCTCGTCATCTAAAAAACACAGGACACACTTATTTACATCATTTCTGCGGATTACAGAGAATTCTACCTCTTTCCACAAAATGCGGTTGCAGAACTTCAATGCTTTTAGCATGCTGTTCACATAGCCCTGAATACAAGAGCTGTAATTCCTGCTCAGAGAATATGAAACAACAAAAAGTATTCTGTTCTGACAGCTAGTTGGACATGTCAGTGCTTATTTTTCAGCAAGGCTTACCAATCCAGAAGTAGCTTTCCAAGAAATCTAAATTTAATAGACAGTGCCTATATTTTATGTAAAAACTCAATGGAAATTTTTACTAACTGGATTTTTCTAAAGTGAAAGAATCTATCTTCAATTGCGCTACCAAGAAACTACATACAGGCAGGCTGCTAGATTTATTACTACCAAAATATAATACACCGAAGACATAGGTAAGTATGTACATCTGCAAATATGAAAGTAATCAGTTATCAGTTTCAGTGCAGGAGTGAAGAATGTGCTGTTAACATAAGAACATGAAAAGAGCCCTGCTGGATTAGACCAACGGTCCATCGAGTCCAGCATCCTCCCTCACACAGGGGCCAACCAGTTCCTCTGGAGGGCCAACAACAGGGCACTGAGGCTGAGACCTTCCCTGATGTTGCCTCCTGGCTCCGGGATTCAGAAAATTAATGCCTCTGAATGTGGAGGTTCCCCTCAGCCACCATGGCTAGTGGCCACTGACAGACTTATCCTTAGCCTCCTTTTAAAGCTGTCTATGCCTGTGGCCATCACGGCATTCTCTGGCAGCAAATTCCACATTTTAATCACTCTCTGTGTAAAGAAGTATTTCCTTTTGTCTGTCCTGAATCTACTGCCCATCAGCATCATTGGATATTGTTTTATTAACTCTTTTAATTGGATATTGTTTTATTAACTCTTTTAACATAAAGGGGGTCTCCCACTCTTGGGTTTTTAGTTAGTGTGGGTTTCTTTCCTTTATCCATAGTTGTACTTCCCCTCCCTATATTTTTCTTTGTAGTTTGTAGTCTTATTGAAAAAATAAAAATACCCCTCCGGGGGTTCCCCCCCCCAAAAAAAGGATCCCCTTGAGTTCTAGTACTTTGGGGAGATGGAGAAAAATTTCTCCTTGTCAACTGTTTCCACCCCATGCATAATTGTATAAACCTCTTATCATGTCCCACCTTAGTCATTTCTTTTCTAATGACTCTTCAGCTTTTCCTCATAGGGAAGGTGATCTGACCCCCTAATCGTCTTGGTGGCCCCTCGTTTGTACTTTCCCCAGCTCTGCAATGCCCTTTCTGAGCTACAGTGACCAGAACTGTACACAGTATTCAAAATGTGGCCACACCATAGAGCTATACAGGGGCATTATAATCAGGGCTATTTTGGGGCAGGAACACACAGGAACGGAGTTCCGGCTGGCTCCCAAGTTGGCCACGCCCAGCAGGAACTCATTAGCATAATAGGCCACACCCAACAGCAGAAACTCATTAGGATTGGCTACATTAGGGGTGTGTGGCCTAACATGCAAAGGAGTCCCTGCTACAAAAAAGGGTTTTTTCTACAAAAAAAGCCCTGATTATAATAGTGGTCATTTTATTCTCAATCTCTTTCCTAATAATCCCTAGCATAGAGTTTGCCTTTTTCACCGCTGCAGCACACTGGGTCGACACATCCATCGAGCTATCCACTATGACCCCAAGATCTTTTCCCCTCTCAGTCTCAGCGAGTTCAGACCCCCATTAGCTTATACTTGGAAGGTGGGAGATTTTTGTCCCAATGTGCATTGCCTTAAACTTACGAACACTGGACTTCTTTTGCCACATTGCCGCCCACTCACCCAGTTTGTGGAGGTCCTTCTGGAGCTCTTCCCAGTCAGCCTCGGTTTTCACCATCCTGAATAATTTGGTGTCATCTGCAAACTTGGTCACTACACTACTCACTCCTAGTTCCAGATCATTTATGAATAAATTAAATAATACCAGCCCCGGGGCGGCTGCCCCCCAAAGTCCATATAAACTGAGGATTAGAAAAGATAGGAACAAATAAGGGCTGAAGGACTCTGATTTGTGCCTGAAAAAATGGTGAAACTAACTTTCGGTTACTCTGGGGATTTCTTCAAACAGTTAAACGGATGGTTAAACGATTATTAACTTAGAATAACCGACGATGTTCATTGTATTATTAGCTCTGTGAAAATAGCATGGGGATAAGCTGATCTCCTACTCTTGGGTTTTTAGTTAGTAGTGGGTCTTTTTTCTTTCTCCCTAGATGTAGTCCCCCTCCCCATATTTTCAGTTATAGTTTGTAGTCTGCAAAAAATCAATAAAAACCTCCCCTCAGGGGGAAGAAAAAAATAAATAATACCAGCCCCAATCCTTGTGGGACCCCGCTGTTTACTTCCCTCCATTGTGAGAACTGTCCATTGATTCCTATTCTCTGCTTCCTGTCATTTAACCAGTTTTTAATCCATAAGAGAACCCGTCCTCTTATCCCGTGACTGCTAAGTCTACTCAGGAGTCTTTGGTGAGGTACCATCTCAAAAGCCTTTTGAAAGTTCTAGTATAGAATGTCTACTGGGTCACCATTGTTCACATGCTTGCTCACTTCCTCAAAGAACTCCAAAAGGTTGCTGAGGCAGGACTTCCCTTTGAAGAAGCCATGCTGACTTTTCCTCAGGAACCTTTGTCCCTAACAATTCTGTCTTTGACTACAGTTTCTACTAAATTGCCTGGGACAGACCGTTAGGCTTTTTAAAAACTGGTGTTAACATTTGCAACTCTCCAGTCTTCTGGTACAATGGCTGAATTTAGTGGAAGGTTATATACACAGGTTAGTAGATCAACTATCTCACATCTGAGTTCCTTAAGAACGCTTCGGTGTATGCCATCAGGACCTAGAGACTTATTGGTTTTTAATTTCCCCAGAAGGTCTAGAACTTCATCTCTGGGCACCTTACTTTGGCTCAGTTCTTCAGACTCCCTTCCTGAAAATAGTGGCTCTTCTTGCAATTGATAAGGAAGTTGTGTAAGACAGCTCACAAACACAAGAAATATAATAAAAATGCTTACAGCATACAAAGAGCTTATACTGACACTGGGTGGGATCCCATTTGATCATTTATGGTCAACTGATTCTCCCCTCCCACCGCTGACTTCCCGCTCCCCCTTCATGTCATCCCTGGAGATCCCCTGTTCTCCGGGAGCAGCTTTTCAGGGGGCCTACTGAGCTACGGTGGCTCAAGTGGTTAAGACGCTGAACTGCAGGCTGTGGAAGGTCAGTAGTTCAGCAGTTCAAGACCCGGGTGCCGCAAGACAGGGTGAGCTCCTGTCTCTAGTTCCAGCTCCTGCCAACCTAGTAGTTCGAAAGCAAGAGATTGCAAGTAGATAAATAGGGACCACTTCGGTGAGAAGGGAACAGCGTTCCGTGCGCCTTGGTGTTTAGTCATGCCGGCCACATGGCCACGGAAACGTCTTCGGACAGCGCTGGCTCTTCGGCTTTGAAACGGAGATGAGTTGGATTCGACTGGCTTTCGAGCAAGGGAACCTTTACCTTTACCTTTTACTGAGCTACAGCTGCAGGACAAGGAAGAAATCAGGCTCCACTCTTCTGTCAGTGGAGATTTTTTTGGTAGGCTCCAGTCCATTGACTCTATGACTTTAAACAGCCTATGTTTTCCTTAAACAAAATCAACACTTACCGGCTTTCTAAGTTCTTTGCTCTGAGCTGTTCTTCTCCTTCATGGATCTGTTCTTCTAGCACCTTTATCTTTGCTTCTCTTTGTTCAGGAGTCTCTTGACCAAAAAGCTTACTGGTCATTCCTTTCAAGGAGAACGTTCTCACAGTCTAAAAGAACACAATAAATACATTGTTTCTTCTTTTCCAGGAAATCCCCACGAAGAAATGCCCAGATATGAAGTATCTGAAGAAATATCCATGAAGAATCTGAAGAAGTATCCATGAAGAAATGCCCAGATATGAAGTATGCCCAAATATGAAGTATCTCTGTTTCAAAAATGTGCAAACTATATGAAAGGGATGCCAAAATGAAACCCAAGGCAAAAATAAGTTCAATATGGCTCATCACAGATGATCTTTCACACTGTGTGCTCATAAGCTCCCTCCTATTTGATTCGTAGTTTGCCAGATTTGGATGTCTTATCAAACAGAGAAATGGAGAAAGGAATCAGTGTGAGATGGGCGAAGGACCATGTGAGCATACAACATGTTCTTGACCACCTTCTGAATTAAGCCAATGAAGTAGTGCACCCAACTCAAAGAAGTGTTCTGAAGCATTCTGAAACTTTTCTGTCAATACAAGGCCCCCTTCTTGCATGTTAAATTCACAGCTTCATTGAATGATGGCCTAAACACCAAGGCTTATACTTCCTATTGTCATTAGCAATGAGAATTTACATTGTAACCTTGAGCACAGTTAAGTATTCCTGTGTTTTTCAAGTGGGAGATAAGCAATATGACTGTGTGCAGGACTGCACACATAATGCTTGGTTGTTGTTTTTTAAACACAAGGCCCTAGAGTCAAGGCAGCTTACAATATTTGTAATATTTGGCTTACATCATCATTTCTCCTTCCATGGCACATTGTTTTTAAACGTTCATAAATATCAAAAACAGTAATCTTCCCTTCTTTAGTCTGATTCAAATCACCAAGTCTCCATTCACCACCCCCACCACATCGGTTCATGCGTCTACTGGATGCCAAGCATTGACAAATCTAATTGCTGGGGGCTACAGCATCTTGACAACTCTCTGTGGAGCCTACAGCTCCTCTCCAGCACCTTGGAGCTGGCTGTTATAGCCATTCCTAAAAGGCAGGGTTGGAATGCTGCTTAAGAAGCTGGATTGGAGCTGTCAATCCCCTTCTAAAGGAGCACTCCACTCCCAGAAAGCCTTGCCTAGGGGCCAAATTACTCTTCATGTACAACAGGGACTTGCAGCCGTATACCAGCTTCAGAAGCACAGCAGGGACTTGATTCGGAGAGGGACCGTGGTGCAGGTGGAGAAGGGGAGTCTTCCACCCCCTGTGCTGTTCCCCAATTCGAAATGGCCCCAGTGGGGGGTTATTTGCCATGCTGGGGGCAGAGCTGCACATGCAATCACTCAGTGCACATGCAGCTGCCTGATGAGAAAAATAATGCCCCTCTGGAGCGGTTTCTGGTTGGGAAAAATGGCAGCGGGAGGCAGGAGACCCTCCTTCCTCACACCGTGGCCCTAATCTGAATTGGGCTGCTGCAGCCCTCCTGAGCTGAGTTCAAATGGAGAACAGCTGCATGTCCCTGTGGTGATCACATGATACATGTGAGTCCAGGGCTCTTTTTGTAGCAGGAACGCCTTTGCATATTAGGCGACACACCCCTCATGCAGCCAATCCTCCAAGAGCTTACAGAGCTCTCCTTTCAGGGGCTACTGTAAGCTCTTGGAGGATTGGCTACATGAGGGGTGTGTCACCTAATATGCAAAGGAGTTCCTGCTACCCTGTAGTTTGGACCTAAGAGGTGGATAATGGACTGTTGTTTCAGAAGCTTGGCTGGCAGCTCCCACTGAGTCTCCCAAGCAATTCTCCAGTTCTGCCTTTTCAGACTGAAAGCCTTGCATAAATGGCGGGGTGGAGCACTGCTTAAGAAGTAGGCTTGGAGCTGCCAACCCACCTTCTTAAGTAGTGCTCCGGTCTCTGCCTTTTAGGCAGAGCTTTTCCAAAAACTGCTCAAGAATCCAGCGGTTCCCTGCTCAAGTCAAAGCGCTTCTGAAAAAGGCAGAACAAAGGAGCACGTACAAGGAGAGACATGACACGAGACAGACCACAGACAAACAGGTACAGACAGGCAGGCAAGAGTAATTGCATTTATCCTGGGAAGACGCTGCATCACTGAGTAAAAAAAAAAATCGCTGAATAATACATAAAGGCTTTAAATACATGCACTCACACATCCCCTTTCCACTCAAAACACAAGGCTCGAGAGGAAATCTTCCTTTTGAAAAAAAACCAAGTAAGATTTTGTTACACACCTGTGAACCTAAGAGGTACTTTTCCTTTGAGACGGCTTTATTCATGCACTTGCCACAGCGCAATGTTCTACCTTTTTGTGTGTGTGCATTTGTGACCGCCTGCCATATATGCCAAACGGGCGCTGTCTGAAGGAGGTTAAGGCATCCCCCTTCCCTTCCCAAGCACTGAAGGCTGAACTGTCAAAAGAGTGACGAAGGAGGTGGACAAAAAGGGGCTATTATGCAAAAGCTCCTCTTGACTATGATCAGCGCATCTCCAGGCCTCTAATACGTCTGACTAAACTGTGTAATTCTAGTGCTAACTATACCAAATCAATTATACGAATGCTGGAAATTACCTATTGCAAAGTTGGTGTAACCCTCTAAAGTATTTCAGAAAAATAAGCAAATGCAGGTCTCCAAGCACTGTGCGTAAACTGGCCCAAGGAACACATTCATGGGTCAGAATATCATAACTTGAGGAAGGGAAATTTGTTCTGAAACCTTAATGTGAGCAGTCTCAAGTCTAGTGCACACAGACAGTAAAAATACTAGTGGGTCCTACTTTCAAACCACAGGTGGGGAAACATATGATAAAAGTACTCCATATACAAGATACCTCTGCACATAGAAACCATAGCTTGAAACAGTTTACCCTGAGATCTAGTCTTCTTTTCATTTTTCTAAACATGTAGGCAGTCAAAGCCTGGGGTAAGATTTTGTTGGTGAAGTGAATTCCGGCAAATGTATATGCCCCTTCTCCAGAGATTTGCTTGAGGGCAACTCACATGACAACGAAAATATTGTATGTTATGGATGAGTCTGGATCCTGAATTTTTGGGCTGGCTCCTAGATCTGAAGAAAATCTGTCAAGTCCTGTTGATGTCAAGCAGGTTCATACATAATAAGAACTTGTGTGTGGTGTATATAGCATAACTATTCATATTCATCTCTCCATGTCATTGCCACCTGTGATATAAAGCACTCCCTTGCTATCCAAATTCCTTGGGATGGCTTCCAAGCCACTGAACAAATGAAATCATACCAAAATCCTTTCATTTTTTTAAAAGTGAAAGGAATTCTTCCTCTCTGCACTTCAAAAACTGCACTTTAACCAACAGCATGCTAAATTTCTCTCTGGTCAATACAGATGCACGGAAACTGGGGTTTCCAAAAAGAAGTTTTGCATAGACAGTGTAAGTCATTGAGAAGTACATACACAACTCACAGTGCAATCCTATGCAGCACTGTTCCAGTCTAAGCACCACTTAAAATCAGTGGGCTCGGACTAGAGTAACTCTGCACAGGATTGCACTTTCAGAGACACAGTTTTCGCAGGACTTGGTACCAACCTCCTGTCAGCAAGTTATACAGTAATGTCATTTAGGTTGTCTATAATTCTAAATCTTGGCAAATATATGGGGAATGAGTGTGACCACGCTTACTCCTGTTGCCAGTTCCTCACACTGCTGCTTCTTCGATGTCAGATCCTGAGCAACTGTTTCCAACTCATACTGCAGAAGTTCATGCTTCCTGCACACTGCCCTGAAAACAGTAAATAAAAGCTTTGTCACGAACAGACTCTGCTCATTATGGTCTTAAAATCAGAATTTTGTTGTAGCAGGCTTCACCCTGAGAAATTCAACTAACTGATTAAATAACCCAATCATAAATGAAATTCTGACATAGTAAAAACGCTATGGAACACTATCCATTAATGTTAACTTCTGCATCTTTAAATTGCTAATTCTTTTCAGAGTTACATCCCAGGCTTTAATTCAGAAAGTCTCCAGTGGAAATATGAGAACCAATTCTACAAGATCCAGTTCTCTACATGGTACAGAATTAACAGCTGTTCTAGAATTTAAAAAAATCTATCAATAGGTAGCAGGTTTGATTATATTACAATTTCATGGCGGAAATAGAAGGAGAAGAGCTACGAAAATTTAGGCCATGCTGCCCTTCTTTCATCCTGTTTCTTATATGTTAGTCATTTTCTATAGAGGCTTATACCAAGTTAAAACCTTTGGATGGATCCATAGAGCCTTTCCTTTTTGGCCAATCAAAATGATACAACGCTGCTTAAAATGGTAGACTAGGACTTTTTATACCCAGGAACATCTTTTCTCCCTCATCCCCCCGAATGTATTTAAAACGTTTATATATGTTCCCTTCCAAATTGATGTCGAAGGTAGGTTAGTATCCAGACATTAGTATCCAGACACGTATTTACCAAGCAAAACAATAAAACAAATCTATGCTTGCTTCACATCTGACTTTGAGAAGGGTCCTCCTGGTGAACCTGCTTACTCTTAAATTGTTCCTACTAAGTATTCTGCTATTGTTACTTTTGTATTTTTTTTTAATATACCAACATGGCCACTGGCACTTAATAAATGTAAACTTTTACAAAAATCAAATAAATGCTGGTTGGAGAGCAAAATCTCTCCAAGCACAGAATCAAGAAGACTGGTTAACTTGGTTACTTGATTCCTCCACACACTATCATAATTACACTGTCCAAAATGTACACAGTTAGGTAAACATGCACAACGTCTGAAAACTTCCTTTAATTCACCTAATATACATTAGCAGCATATGGACTGCTATTTAGGATACAGTAAGCTATAAAGTCTCAGGGCAATTGATTTTATTACACTGTACAGATGAGAAGCTGACTTGCCCAAGGATTCTATGGAAGAGACGGCCTTTGAATCCACATTTCTATTGCAATGTCCCTTTTCTTCTGTAAGCTATATACAAGCAATACAATTAAACAATTTACAAATGAGGCCTATTGAAATATTTATACAAAATCAGAATTATCAAATTACAGATATTATACATTATATGCTTACCTAAGAGCTTCGGCATAGAAGAGATATTCTTTCAGCTGGTCTGCATAGTGTTCTTCCTCTTCTAGTATGTCATCAATAGAAGCTGCGTACCTAGGAAAATATGACAGTAGAGAAACGGGCTCCCAAAATTTGATACAACATTCTTGAGTCATAAAATTTTCATTTGGTTTGTTAGAGCCACCAAAAGCTTGTTTAGGAAATTCAAGCAATTACAAAGAAGGTGAACTGATTTAAATTAACGATTTAATTAAATCACTGATTTAAATAACACTGTCCTGTTACAAAGTGATCTGACTTCAATCATGTTCTGTATAAAATGGACATGTTATACATATCTGGGATAAACTTTTCTAACAAACTTAAGAAAGGTATGCTGATACTGAGGTCAAAAGTTCAGTCTTTAGCCAATATATTAATTGACGATTGCAGTGTATTACTATTTTCTTCATGGGAGCAGAAGGTGACTAACACAGGAGCTTTCCCTAACTTTCTCAGAATGAAAGAACACTAAACTAGGAGCTCTTTCTAACTCCCTAAGAACAAAAACCAAAAAAAGGTCGATTTCTATAGCTTAATACATCTACAAAATAAATCACTTTGAACTAGTTGCCATTGGCAATTTTAATACCTCAGCCAAAACAGCACTGGAAACAAAATAAAGTCTTGGTTACAATATAGAATACGATGACCCAATCTAGATATGCAAAGTTTTGTTATATGCAGGAGCATAAGGCACTTTGGTGGGCCAGAAGGTGGTCTGGTTGCGAGGGCAGCAATAAGCTGAATAAAAAGAACCTTCAGGCCTATTGCTGTTGCAAAAAGCTATATATTTGTAAGACGGTAATAGCCTCCACATATTATGTTTTCTTTAAGAACAAACAATATTTTTTAGGCTTGAGGTAATATGTAAGCCATGACCGTCTCAAGTTTATTACCCGATTGCTCGTGAAAAGCTTTTTTCCTAGCAATTTGACCCGAGGTTTACACAAGGTTGTTTATTATCATCTTAACAAAACGACAGGGGCTATTAGAAGTGTTCTACACTGGTGTATGTTCCTCGGTATGTTTTACAACTGTCCTGAAACTCGCTTGTAACTGAACTTTATACGTCTGTCTTCTTCCTGCTCATCTCCTCTCCTCCCCAATTTTTCCTTTTCACACACGGGCGCGTTCTCACTTCGTCCCCTTCTCCTCCTCTTTCTCTGTTAATCATCCCTTCTCTCTCCTGCTCTCCCTCAGCCAAACTATTTTTCTGTCAACCATTCTTTCTTCCTCCCCTTTCCCCTCCTTCTCTTGCCCTATGTTTATCTTTTTATCCACTCTTCTTCTAAACACCATTTTCTGCTCACTTTTGTGGTTACTTCTACTTGTCCTTCAGCAGCAGAATAAAACTCATTTAACACGAAAAAGTCCCCACTCTCAATTTTTAACAGCAAAAGTAGTTAGCTATACGGTATGAATTGTCATAACGTGAAATACCATAAGGAGTTTAGACTCTGTCAAGAGTCACTCAAGGCAGAGTGCTCACAAACTGAGACACCAGACTAAGATCCAGCGTGCCCAGCGTGCCTGCGTCACTTCCAGGTGACACGTGCGCACACACCCGACGCCGGCTGGGAGCCTCCCGCTCCCGGCGAATAATCACTTGGCAACCCTAATCCACCCCCTTCAGGAATCAACAGTCACATCAGAAAGGTAGCTACTGGGCGGCAGCAGTAGTGGAAGACAATGGCAGTGACATTTCAGCTAACCCTAGTTAGTACTGCACAGAAGAAAGCAATGGTAAACCACTTCTGATAATCTTTTACCTCAAAAACCCTATGATGAGACCATCCCAAACGGAAAACAATATAGCAGTAGAAGATAGGACCCCCCCAGGTTGGATGGCACTTAGTCCGCTACTGGGGTAGAGCTGAAGACAACTACGAATAGTGCTATTCTTAATTATGCAACTGGACTAAAGCTTGAAGGGACGTTCAGCTGTTGACATGAATTGATGCAAAAGGAAAGTCCAGAGCTGTTTGACACATATAATAGGAACATGGAATATGAGATGTATGAATCAAGTTAAACTCAAATGAGAAATGGAACATTTAAACACTGCAATCCTGGGAGTGAGCGAACCAAAATAGACGGGATTAGGACATTCAGTCAGAAAATTACAAACTGTTTTACTCTGGAAATGACAAACACAGAAGAAACAGAACTGCTCTAATAGTGAGGCGAGGCATAGCACAAGCAGGGACTATAATGCACAGTCTGACCAAATAATATCAATCAGACAATCAACATAACCATCATTCAAGTTTAGGCCCCAACTACATATGCTGATGAAGAACTTGAAAGCTTTTATGCAAGTGTCCAGGAAGCAACTGATCACACACCCAAACAAGACATGCTGATAATCATAGGTGACAGGAATGCAAAAGTAGGAAACAAAGCAGAATCCAATACTGTTGGCAGATTTGAGCTAGGAGCATGAAATGAAGCAGGAGAGCAACTCATAGAATTCAGTGAAGACGGCAATTCGTTTATTGCGAACATGTTTCAAACAACCAAACAGATGATTGTATATGTGGACATCAACAGATGGCCAATACAGAAATCAAATAATTACATAATTAGAAGCAAAAGAAGGAGAAGCTCTATTCTCTCTGCTAAAACAAGACCAGGAGCTGATTGCGGTACAGACCATGAATTGTTAATACTGAAAATTAGAATAAAGCTGAAAAAACACACCAAAACATTCATAATGCCAAAATACACTCTAAACAACATGCTTGAAGAGTTAAAAGACCATTTAAAGAACAGATTTTCATATCTAAGTTCAAGTGAACAGGAACCAGAAGAACTATGGGGTGAAACCAGAGATATTATCAAGGAAGAACTTGCAAAGACTATTCCTATAGCCAAAAGAAGTGAAAAGCATCAATGGATGACTGATGAAACGCTTAAAATTGCTAAAGCAAGATGAAAAGCAAAAGATGATCAAAGTAGAATCAGAAGTCTAATGCAGCATTCCAGCAACTTGCACACAGAGATAAAAAGAACTATTAAAATAGTCAGTGTAAAGAAACAGAAGAGAACAAAAAATGAAGAACAAGAGACCTGATCCAAGAAATCAAAGGGAAATTTAAAGCACAATCAGGCATGCTGAAAGATCAACATGGAAATACATTAACTGAACAGGACAAAATAAAGAAAAGATGGGAAAAAATACACTGAAGAACGATACAGAAGAGATGAAAGGATGACAGATTCCTTCATGAAAAGTTTAAAAGAAATGAGCATTTCATAACATCTGATTGTTCTGATGTGCAACCTGTACTCTGGACAGGACATGGAGAAACAGAATGGTTTTATCTCCCTCTTCCTTCAAATCTATATGCAGAACATATCATAAGGAAAACTGGATTAGATTTAGATGACAGTGGAGTGAAAATTGGTGGAAGGAACGTTAACAGTTTGAGATATGCAGATGACACCACTTTACTGACAGAAAATGACTACTGATCAAGATTAAAGGACATAGTGCCAAAGTTAGATTACAGCTGAACATCAATGACTACTGGGGAATTACATAATTTTAAAGCTGATGATGAAGTTGAAGTTGTTCAAGATTTTCCAATTCCCTGGCTTCATATCAACCAAAAGGGAGACTGCAACCAAAAAATCAGGAGATTGAGACTAGAAATAGGCACGAAGCAGCTCATGAACTAAAGTTCATCACGAGTTTTGCCCGGTTCATGGTTCACAAAACCATGTTCATGAACTGAAGAGCCACCACAAACTTCCAAGAATTTTTATGCAGTTTGTGGTGGTTTGTGAAGAGCAGAAAGCAGGGGTTTAAATGGCTCGGAGCCATTTAAACTCCTGCCTTCCGCTCTTCACAAAAAACTGCTGAGCAGCAGGACCACTCAACTGTTTGGTTTAAATGGCTCGGAGCCACTTAAACCACTGCTTTCTGTTCCCCATGAAAAGCCATAGGGAACAGAAAGCAGGGGCTTAAATGGCTCCAAGCCATTTCACCCCGAGATTTCTGCTGGCTGAAAAAAGCTGCGGCCAGCAAAAAGCAGGGGTGAAATGCCTCCCAGCCATTTCATCCTCTGCTTTTTGCTCACCACCAAAAGCCATGGTGAGCAGAAAGCTAGCAGTAAAATAGCTCCAAACCCCTGCTTTCTGCTTCCCGCCACATTTCTTAGGGAGCAAAAAGCAGGGTTTTAAACTTTAAATGACTCATAAACCCATACAACCCCACACAAACCACCTCACAGTTCATATCGGTTTGTAGTTCAGTTTATCGTTTGACCATGAACAACGAACCGAACTGCAAAAATGCTGTTTGTGCCCATTCCTAATTGAGACTGGGAAGGGCAACCATCAAGGAGCTAGAAAAGATTCTTAAGTGTAAGGATGTGTTGCTGGCGACCAAGATAATTCATACCATAGTATTCCCTGTTACTAGTATTGGTATGAAAACTGAACAATGAAGAAAGCTGACAGGAAGAACGTTGAAAGTTTATTCCTTTGAAATGTGGAGGAGAGTTTTGTGGATATCATGGACTGCCAAAAAGATAAGCGTGTTCTAGATCAAATCAAGCCTGAACTCTCCCTAAAAGCTAAAACAACTGAACCAAAGCTATTGTTACTCTGGTCCCATTATGAGAAGAGTCACTGGAAAAGACAATAATACTAGGAAAAGTTGAAGGCAGCAGGAAAAGAGGAAGACCCAACATGAGATGGATTGATTCAATAAAGGAAACCATGGCCCTCGGTTTACAAGACCTGAGCAAGTCTGTTAACAGCAGGACATCCTGGAGGTAATTAATTCAAAGTCAGACGCTACTTGACAGCACTTAACAAATACACACACAAATTGTCTTGTGTGTGTTTTAGCATATGCTGAGAATAGGGCAGTTAGGAAATCCTGCTCTGAAAAGATGAACGCACAAAATATAGCAAGAAGTGGGAGATTAGGGCCAAGCTTTCTTTCTCACCATTGACAAATGGAGGGCTGAGTCTGACAGCCAGAACATTAATCACCATCATCAACTGAGGGGAAACAGAGTGGTAGCAGATTACAGTAAACATAAGCGTCAAGGCTCTTCTACCTGGGGCAAATGGGATTTCCATACTTCCACATCAGTGCCCACAGCTTAAAGGCTAGGAATTTGAACTTGCACTATTCAACAGCTGGTAGTGTCAATATCACAGCCTCTCCATCCCCATGACTGCTTACCTGTCCACCAACAAAAGACAACCACTGTTCACAGAGTCCCTACCAGAGACAAGGAAAGGAAGCAGAGTAAGACTTAACCTATCACTTCCTGTGACAACACCATACAGATGCAAAGGCCAACACACATTGAGATATTAAAAACACACATTAAGAGATACTAAAAAATACTTGCTCCCTATCATAGATCAGATGGTCACCCATCATCAACTGATAACAGTTGTTTCGGAATTATTTTGGTAACTCTCGGACAACTGTACACTTCCCTTTACTGTGAATTTTGAATACTTTACGTGTTAGGAAAAAAGACCTCAAGGCTAGATTATTGTAACATGCTCTACATGGGGCTGCCCTTCAAGACAGTCCAGAAGCTACAGCAGGTGCAAAATGCAGCAGCTTGTCTATTATCTGGGACTAGCCAACAGAACCTCAGCATTCCTGTTCGGAGGGCCCTTCAGTGGCTGCCAATTAGAGTCCAGTTCCGATTCAAGGCACTGGTGTTCATCTTTAAAGGTCTTCAGAACCTTGGGTCCACATACCTGAAGGACTGCCTCTCCTTACATGCTGTCTTGTAGCAGCTCTGCTCTTCTCACTAAGGTCCATCATCAGTTCCTCCATTGTTTACGGTATGTTCTGCCACTGTCCGAGCTTAAGCTTTTCCACTGGCTGCCCCATGTCTCTGGAAAAGCCCCCTAGAAGAGGTCAAGGGCCTTCCTAACCTCCTGACTTTCCGACAAGAATACAAAATAGGTCTGTTCCAGAAAGCTTTTGGGGCAACCTGAGCGAAAAAGGAATACCCTGTTGGTGAGGCCATACTTTTTAGTCTCATTTTTAATGTATGGTTTTAATGTTTTTTTATAGATATACCTGTGGGTCGCGTTTTCATTTTGCTCTTAAATTGTCTATTCTGTATTGACAATTTATGCCAATAAAGGATAAATTGAACTTGAACTTGTTTTAATGTTTGTGTTACGTTTTGTACTGTTTTTTCCTTATTGTTACCTGCCTTGGGTCCTGGGATTATCTGGGTAGATAAATATTTTAAGTAAATAAAATATATAAATTGTCACCTGAACGATCTACAACTTCCATTATTGGGATTATACTTGCCACCCAATGAAACAAAGAAGCAGATCAAAAAAGCCAGAATGGTTCCCAGAAATACCCCGCCAGAACACAGGCTCACAGGAAATAACCCCACCGACTGCCATATACAGCTCAAAGCTCAAGCCATGTCAGTGTATCATAGTTGCATTTGAGATGCCTCAAAATGAGCTCCCGGAGGAGATCCGGGCCCTGCGGGACCTTGTGCAGTTGTCCGCGGGGCCTGTAAGACGGAGCTCTTCCACCAGGCCTTTGGGTAGGAGCCGCCGCCGCTATACCACCACCGCGATGTTACCATCCATCTACTGTACCCTGGGGTGGGGGGTAGATGTCGCCCGCAAAACTGTGTGGGATGACTGCTCCTGGCGTTTCCGCTACTGCAAATGGGGGCTGCTGTGTATTGTGTATACCGCATATAGACCTGTGTATAATGCATGTAGATCTGTAGCACCAAATTTTATTTGTATATATACTGTTTTATTGTTACAAATTTTTTAAATTGTTGTTAGCCGCCCTGAGCCTCTGGGTAGGGCGGGATAGAAATCCCAAAAATAAATAAATATAAATAAATAAATTCCTACTCTTTGGGGGTCTCATAGCAATGTACTGCTCTGCAAGTGTTAATCTTTAAAAATAATTTAAAAATTAAGGAATGACTAACAAAATACAAAGTAAAAGTGAAACTTTCCAAGGAAAGCCTAAAGCATTTTACATACTGAATGAAGCACAAGTGGATGATGTGTTCTGAGATCGCTGTTGTCTATGGCCCTCTGATTCCCCCCCTCCCTTTCCACACAAGCATTTTTTACTACTTCAATTTAACTTGTGGTGTCCACCCCCTGCCCAAGTTCCATCAGTACAGAAGTTCTGGATATTAGTCTGACAAGGTTCAGAAATGCTGCAAACAGTTAGGTCAAGCAGGAATCTTATTCTGCCCACCAAATCCTGCAAATATATATATATTTATATTTTATTCGTTCATATAAATGCTACAGGTGGATTTTATTTTCTCTTTTCTGTAGCGTTTTGAATCTACCCAAACGCTACCAGGGTGAATGCCAGCAGCTTAAGGCTTCAGGTGCCCCAAAGAAGTGAAAAAGATCTAGGGACCGAATAGACAGGAGTTTGTAAGACAAAACCCATAAATACACATACTGTGCAAACTACTCCTGCCAAACTATGGAGAGTATCAGATCTGCAGCGCATTAGGTTTTATTCCACCCGTTTCTGGCATAGCGGCTTGGAAGAAAATGCTGGAAGTGTGCCAAACTCTACTACAGTTTCAAAATAATAATAAAAAAGAAATCCCTTTAAATCATCAGGGACTCCTCGAGCTACTTAACGCAGTAGACTCTCAAGCAGCCCCGATCTACAGTCAATGAAATGTTGCATAGCTGAGCGCGCTGTTCTTTAAAACACCCAATTTCCCCAGCTCTGACTCTCCACCCCCCACCCGCTTCTAACGCTGTCCCCATCTGGTTTCCATCTACTCTCAAATAGTCAATACTTACACATCCATGTGATGGCCGGCACTCTGCAGCCCGTCCCCCATCTCCTTCTCTATTGCACTCCATTCACTAGAGACAGAAAAGCAAATTAAATTTAAAAAAACAACACCGCACGTGAAGGGCGAGGAAGTTAATAAGCTACATCCTGTATATAGTTCCTCCAAGGCGATATCTGTATGCAGAAATGTCAACGTTTTACTTGGCTAGGTCGCTGAACTTCCTTCAACCAGGGCTGGGGAACACAAAATTTGAGCACCTAACTTTAAAGCCTGTTGCCCATTTCTAACACTTGCATCATTTTTTTAAAAAGTCTATTCCAGGAGTTTAGGGACTGGAGCAAAAAAAAAGAGACGCCTTGCTTAAACAGCTGAAATCTGAAAGTATCAACAACATTATATTTATATTTTATGTTTTATTGTAAAATATGTGCTGATTTTTGTGTAAGCCGCCCTGAGCCGGTCTCAGCTGGTAGGGTGGGGTAGAAATGTAATAAATAAATAAATAAAAATATTCTGTTCCTTTCATACAGAGGCAGTTAATGCTTCATTTTTTTGAAAAAAAGTTTTAGTTACATGTATGGGATATATAATGTTCCCCAATTTTTAAAAAATCCAATGATATTCTTAGATTTGCATTAACTTGACACTGGCTCAGTATGACTTTTTTCTTCTGGAGAAGGATTATTTACTTATTGTATGGCAGAATTACACACAGGAAGCATATAATAATATAAAATACATAATCAAGTTGATACAACGGGTGTGCAGACCAATTGGGCAATCCCCCTAAATACTAATATCTAAATTTTCAATCCACTCAATCGCAGCTGGGGAAAGTTCAAAGAGCTCTGTCACATCTCCCTGGAAAGCATGATGCTCACATTCCTGTGACAGATGGAAAATAGTTTGGCAGGCTGCACCACAATCGCATTCAGGTCCTGGTATTTTGCCCCATTTAAACAACCGGTCTGCACAACTGCCGATATGGATATTGGGTGGAAGTGACTACATCCACGTTCACAACCATTCATTCCCTAGATCGAAATGTTGTGATTGCAGGATTTGTGCAGATTTTATTGCTGGGTGTTGGGATCTCAGTCTGGCTAGGCCTGCATCAGCCATGTCTTTGTGGATGGACAACTCTCTGTTTTCAATTACCTTTCTGTATTCATAAAGAAGAGCATCTTTTCTTTGGAGATGTGGGGGAGTGATGTGGCATAACGTGGGTAGCGGACAGGTTGGAGTGGGTTTAATACATCTGCTGATGGTTCTCATTGTTGTAGAAGGAAAGAGCTCCATTACAGATCCATGTTAAAGACTTTTTGGAAGTTTGGAGAGGGATGCTATTCCTTATTTTCTGGGAAATTTGGAACTTTGAAACTTTCCATATTCCTCCCAGAGTGAAGTTTGCTAAAAATCTGAAGAACAGACAGTCTTTTGTGAAGACTTTTGGTGTTCAACTTACTAGTTTTTAAAAAGAAGTTTCATATTATTTCCATTACTAATTACAAACCTTTAAAACATTATGATAGCTTGGATCCACTGGAACAGCTCCATGGGAAAAAAGATTTCTGCCCACAGAGCACATATTTCTCCCCTCCCCCTACAAAAATACTCCCACTGAAATTCTGTTCCTGTCAGAAATGCTTCAGTGGATCCAAACCAAGGAACAGAACTACACTAATTAATATGATCAGATCAAAATGAAATGGACACTGGAATATTAACAGAAATTGGCAATTATCTATCAAGCCTGTGTTAAAAATCAATTTTGTTGGTTTTTGGCAATATGTGACTACTGTTCACATGTTCTTATGACATTCTGTTAACTTGTTTAGAGTTGTCAGAAGCTTAAATAGCACTTTTCTTACAGTGCAATCCTTTGCAGAGTTACCCTAGGCTAAGCCCATTAGATGTCAAAGGGCTTAGATCTTCACGGGACTGCATCCATCTGCTATCCATTAGCCTAGTGGATTAAATTTGCCAACTGTAGAATAAAAAGGACAATCCCTGATTCCAGATTCCTTAATTTTCCAATAAGATGGAAAAAGAATTAAGCACTCAGTCCAGCCATATAAACTCACAGAAGGACTACTGCTTGAATCAGCTTTTTCAGCACAGCACATCTGCCCAACTGTCAGAATGCTTCCTTGGTATTAAAGACATACAATGAAAAAATAAACTCCCACTCCAACTGGAAATGTGCAAGGCAGGCAGAGGAGAAGCAGATGCTGCAGAGCTGCAATAGCCACTCAAGCCCCATGCTCTGAACACGCGAGGAAAGACATACTGGGCAATCTGGTCAGAGGTTCAAAACCTTCAAATGTGTTTCACGATGGCCAACTGTGAACAGCTTTTCTCTTGAACAGGATAAGGCATAGACGAGGTGTTTCAAATGCAACCTGCTGATCCACTTTGATTTCTCCAAGTTTGCTTGTAGTTGGAAGGCAGTGAAAACCAGCTGATTCAAGTAGACTGAGATGTGCTTGCAATTTTATGCCAGGACAGAAGAGCAATTCCTAACATTTTGCAAGCTCAGGTAGAGTCCTTCAACACCCCGCCCCCTCCGTTTTACTCCCTAAGGACAAAACTGCCGCTTGTACACTTAGTTTGGAACTAGGAAGGTGAACCCTGTAAAAAGTTGTTCTGCAAGCTTTTCGGCAAAATTTGCGGATGGAAAAACGGAAGAGAAGACATTTTCAAGGACCGCGTCACCCTCTGAAGAGATAACTGTAGGCAGAGGCGTCAAACATACAGCCTGCAGGACAGAACTGGCCTGTCAAGGGCTCTTTATCCAGCCCACGAGCAACTGGTGGCCTACTTCTCTCCTGCCAAGCAGCAACTACCCACAGGCAAGGCCCCTGTGCACAGTTCGCAGTTGCCGCCTCCTCCTCTCTCATGCCCAGCCTGCTTCTCTCCTGAATCTCTTGCATGCCCCCCCAATGCTCCCCTCGCATTGCCCTACCCATCTCTCTTTGGGGCTCAATCGTAGTCATGAGAACATAAGAGAAGCCAGTGTTGGATCAGGCCAATGGCCCATCTAGTCCAACACTCTGTCACACAGTGGCCAAAAATACCAGGTGCCATCAGGAAGTCCAGCACTGGGCCATTTCTTGGTATTAAAGACATACAATGAAAAAATAAACTCCCACTCCACCTGGGAATTCAGTTCACTTCGCCCATCCTCAGCCCCTCCCGACCGCTGGCTGCTGTGACGGACAGCAAGCAACTGCAGGCTGTTAGGCAATACTGCTGGGAAAAGGGTGCGCTATCTGAAAAATGATTGACAGCTCACGGAGCTCATTCTGATTAGGTGAAAGCGGCTTATTGTGGAATGGAACACTGGTTATGCCAATAAAGGTTTGTGATTTGTGAATGGACTGAGCAGTTTACAAATTCAAGTGGGAAGGAGTTGGTGGATCAGTTAGTGTGGATCAGTTGGAGTGGAGCTAGAGAGGGAGTTAACAGAAAAAACTCCTAGACCGATTTCACACAAGAGCTGCACTGCAGTTGCGCCTCCCTTTGCCCCGCTTCTATTGGTCAATTTCCCACTCAAAGCCGCGCAGCCGCATTTTGACCCACGGCTTCGCCCGATTTTCCCCAGGTTTTGTGATCCTGTTTTTTGAGGATCACAAAACCGCGGGGAAAATCGGGCGAAGCCACGGGTCAAAATGCGGCCGCACGGCTTCGAGTGGGAAATTGACCAATAGAAGCGGGGCAAAGGGAGGTGCGACTGCGGCGCAGCTCTTGTGTGAAATCGGTCCTAGTGAAAGACTCTGAAGAGAAAGGGGTCCGATAAGCCCTGTCTGGAGCAGATCAAGTGTGCTGTGGCCTTTGCAAATAACAGACTTAGGGTGGAGACAGTGAGTCTGGCAAAGAAGTGTCAGAACCTCACCTATTAAAGGAGGGGAGAGAAATCTCCTTGTGTGAAACACAGAAACATTACTTGAGTGGAAAACTGGACATTCTCAGTAGGGAAGCTGATTAACCAGTTTACAAAAACTGTTCTTCTGGAAGACAGAGATTTGACCAAAAGGTTTGAGGAGACATGGAGGTCGCTCAAGCAAGTCAAAAGACGTTATTCCTCTTAAGGAGAAGAGAATAACAATCTGGCCAGAGGAAAGGGGGCAGACAGGAAAACCTCTGGTCTATAAACACAGGGTTACAGCATAATAAAGTCTCAAGTCTCTGTGACCATCCAGAAACAAGTTCAAAAGAAGGTATAAGGGACTCTAGTAAACTCTGTATCACAGTGAAAGTAGTGAAACATCTCTAACAGCATCAAGCCAAAATAAACCAGGGAAAACAACTCACAAAACATCTCTAGTATTGTATAAAAGCAGTTTGGGATATATATGTGAACCTCCTTACCACACCTACCCAAAATTCACATGTAAATATCATTTTCCAACCCCTGCCTGTTTATTCCCATAAATGTGGTTTCTGTTTCAACTTTCAGTTTTCCTAGGTGCCTATTCTTGAGGGAGAATTTACAGAGGTACAGACCCTCCTCAATCACAGTTCCTTATTTGGGGGTAAGCCAACAAAATATCAAATGGTAACAAGGTGGGGCAATAGAATTATAATAAAAGTTTATTTACCACAAGAAGAGCGACACGCTACTACCTAAAGGCTACCCAGTTATCAGATGGGGGAACTGAAAAATACAGAGGGAAATGGAGGAAAAATCTGAGGCCTTATAAGGGCGATTGTTTGACGGGAGTGCCTGTCCGGTACAGCTGCTCTTGAACTACCTGCTCTGGATGAGCGAGGGGTGGGTTCCACTTTCTCCTGCTCTCCACAAATGAAAATCCAGAGCTGCTCACTCCTCCCCCTTTCTTCCCCCCTCCCTCCTCCTCCTCTTCATCTCAATGTGAGCGGGTGTCACTCAGAAAAGCAATGCAGGGAGAGGGAGAGATGAGGACCAGGAAGTTTCCGGCAGGGCCGCCAACACAGGGGGACTGCGGCAGGGCCGCCAATACAGGGGGACTGCGATCTGGGGTGCCCAAGTCAGCGGCAGGGCACCTGAACCCGGAGTCATGCGATTTTCATGAAATGCATTTAAAAAAAAACGTAATGCAGTTCTGACTGCAGCCACTAGGGGAGCAGGGAAGGCCGAGCACAGCAAAGAGCTCAGCTTTTCTGCAGAGTTTACCACGACATTGAAGGAAACTGTTTGCTGATGAGATGCTGCTAAACCCATCAGCCAAACCTACACTGGAGCAAGGGGCAATCAGCCAGGACAGGAGGCAGCCTCCTAAAAAGGTCTATGGTTTCCTTTTTCCTTTAGTTCCACTTAGCTCCTGCACAGCCAGGTCTTACCAAGGGGTAGCCTTGTTAAGTTTGTGGTAGCAAAAAAAGAAGAAACTTTTGTTGTCTTTCTCTACATTTCACTAACTCTTTTTCACATCTCCTCCTCCTCCTTCATCTGTTCTTGATCTGCTATTCATCTATCACCACTTCTAATTTACTTTATATCCTGCCTTTATCCCCAAGGGGAACCCAAAGCAGCTTTCATCATTCTCCTCTCCTCTGTTTTATCCTCACAACAACCCTGTGAGGTAGGTTAGGCTGAGAGGGTGTGAACTGGCCCAAAATCACCCAGCAAGCTTCAATGGCACAAAAGGGGAAGATGTGAACCTGGGTTTCCTAGATTCTAGTCCAATGCAATTTTAGCTTTCATTGCAAATAGCATGGGGGTCCAGAGATAACCTGGGCCAAGATTTTCCATTTCCTTTCATTTTTGGCCCTGGAATTCGCATAATCTTCCTGAAGCTGGTGGCCCAATTTTGACTTTCCTAGTGTTTTTTTCCTGATGAGTTATGCCCGCCGCAAATGGAAAGACAGATGGACATGTGGATCCTTTTATTATTACAGAGTCATGCTAACAGCTGGCCAAGTGATTTGGTTTTTTACAACATTTGATTTGGATCAGGGTCATATTGGAGGGGGGGGGGCTGATGGAATTTTTGTCCAGAGGCCCACGGTGGCTCTTGGGAGCCCCAGTTTCCAGGAGCACCAAATAAAGACATGTCCAAAAGGAGAGAGAGATGGTGACAGAGATGTAGGGAAGGAAGCAAAAAGGAGGTGGAGTGTGGAAATGCAGCTGCGGCAGCGGGGGAGAGGGAGCAATGCCTTTCAACAGTATCTGCTCTTCTAACACAGCCTGAAAGAAAATTGTGGAGCGGGGAGAAGGGGTGGTGGAAGGGGGAGTCCGGTGTGCCTCCTTGAGATCCTCAGAGGTAGGACAGGGAAAAAGGAAACAAAAGATGAGAGACGGATTGTAGCCGTACTTGGCTGCTGAGGCTGGGCGTATGGGGGTGGGGGTTGTGGTGAAAAACTACCTTATTTACTTGCAAGGAAGATAACTCATCTCCTTAAAGTGCTATATATACAAAAAAGTAACTAATTAGTATGGAAGTGTAAGATATCCCCAATTTTATGGTATCCCTTGGGAAAAAACCTAGTCTTGCATATGATTAAACACATTTATTGGGGTTTTTGTGGGTTCCCCAGTAAATCAGTTGCTTTCAATCCACAACACACCTGCACAATGTGTCTGGGTTTTGTTTTGATTCGTTCTTACGCTTTCCTGAATCTTACCCATCTAGAATGTTTTTATCCTGCCGTTCCTCCAAGAGCAACATGCATGGTTCTCCTGTCCATTATCGTGTCCTGCTCATTGTGGGGGCGAGCGGATGCCATGTGGTAAGGACCAATGTTCCCTCTAAGCCATGGAGTCTCATGAGCAAAAATTCTCCTTTGTGAGCTACTACCATTAAAGTTATGAGCGAGCAATTTGCCTACTGCATAAATTAATTTGCTCTGGAGCCATCCTTCCTGAGCTAAGACAAAAATGTCTGAGCCAGAGGCTAAAAAACTGTGAGCTAGCTCACACTAACTCAGCTTAGAGGGAACACTGGTAAGGACACACCAACTTGGAACTTATCAGTGCTAATGTTTTAAGCATGTTTGTATTTTGAATAAAAATAATATCATTAATTGAGTTTGCCTGTGTCCTTTATAAAACGTATATCTCCAGTAACTGGCACTACATTTTATGGTACACATGGCCTGTCCCGTCAAGGTGACATTTATGTCAGATCCAGCCCTTGTAACAAATGAGTTTGACAACTCTGAGTTCAGGTCTCAAATGTATCAGTCAAGGTGATCTGAATCCAGTAAAGATATAGCTGCAGTATTTTCCAATGCAAACAAATTCCCCCATAAATTGCTTCTAAGGCACATGAACTGAATTAACTAGTAAGTTATAAAAACCACTCTCAGCTCTTACCTGAAAACTCTCCCATAATTTCCATGGACTTTGTATACCCCATACAGTCGATCTGCGACTCTCTAAAATAAGGATTTATATGTAGAAGTTAGATATCTAAAAAGACAAACAGGTACTTTATATGTCATTTCCTAGAGGAAATAGTATCAAATACAATGTTCAGATGTATAAAGTTATCTGCCCCACAAGCTTCACACAAAGCACAAGTGATTTGGTTCATCACAAAATTGGGAGGAAAAGAGCATTCTCCCTCTTGCTCTGCACACTGGTCAGTCTCCACCCAAACAATACAATACTGTTTAAACTGAATCTACTGCTATTTCCTCTTTGCTCAAATTCACATCTTTTGCACCATGACTACCTTAACGCTCGACAGGGACTCTTATGCAAGACTGTTTTCAGAATTTCTAGTACCACACTCAGTTCAACCAGCCTCATCAACGAGTCCATTGATGTATTAAAAACTGAGGGATAGGATTTCTGGCAATGTGACCTGCACTAAATTCTGGCTTATTTTCAAGATGATCTACTGTGCCTTTTTAAAAAAGATCAGAATGACAGTACTACTTTCCTGGATGACAGAGACAGACAAGATGCCAGGGTAAGTAGTTCAGCAATTTAATATTTCATTTTCAGGAGTACATTATCCCAGTATGTCTACTGCTATTTAACTAGTTTCATAATTAGTGAGCATCCTTGAGGCATGGGAAGACTTTTTTTACACCTCCTCAGTACATGCACACTCTTGTCCCCCACGGTGGACAAATAAATTACAGAGAGGTGGGGGGGGATGGGCACATGATTATAGCACGGCCTAGTTCAGCAGTTCGATACACGGGTGCCGCATGACGGAGTGAGCTCCCGTCTCTAGTTCCAGTTCCTGCCAACCTAGCAGTTCGAAAGCAAGACATTGCAAGTAGATAAATAGGTACCGCTTTGGTGGGAAGGTAACAGCGTTCCATGCGCCTTGGTGTTTAGTCATGCCGGCCACATGACCACGGAAACGTCTTCGGACAGCGCTGGCTCTTCGGCTTTGAAACGGAGATGAGCACCGCAACTCTAGAGTCGGGTTCGACTGGCTTTCGAGCAAGGGGAACCTTTACCTTTATAAATCTTCTGGGAGAGATCCAATGAAACTGAAGATATTGTGAAAAGTAAGTAATTTACTGAAACCTCAGTACAGACAAATCAACCCCTTAGGCAGGAGACAAAGTTCCCATAATTCCACTAACTGGAAGAGACAGGGATTGGAGTAAAACACAGGAGGAGCTTAGAGAGACTGTCATACTTTCCCCATCAACGATCCACCGTTTCCCAGTTTCCCAGTACCACCAGTACTGTAAAGTTGCTCTAGTCGGTTTTTTCACATCACATCTGTGACTCTCTTAAATATGCAACAGTGTATCATTATAATACGTATCATTTCATTTATTTTGTGATGAAAAGGAAGGACAGGTATATAGGAAAACACCCTGTCTCCGAAAGCACCACTTTCACATAGTCGATGCACAGATGCTCCACTTATTTCATACATTTCAAGACTCTGTCAGACTCCTGATGGGAAATACTTACAGCTCTGACTCTCAGAAGGTGTGATATGACAGACTGCAGCTCATCACTGTAGTGTTTAAGCTCTGTAAATCTCCTGGGAATGCAAGAACAGGAAATACATCACTAGCAATCAGAGAAGCAAGCTCTCACAAAGTGCATGGCAGGATCACAACAAAACAGCTCAGCTATTTGTTCAAACAGAATAATCTCAGGCTTCGTGGAGCAGCCATCACAGACCAGAGGAGCTATTTAAGTGAGTAGTTTCCTCAGCTACTTGTGCACTGGGCATCTCATCTGTCCATCTGTTAGGTGGGAATGAGATTTTGAATATTGCTCAGACTACATTTCTAGCATGAACCCAAATCTGTTTTCATGGGGGCGAGGAAGACAAAAAACACAATGAAATAAACATTTATTTCTTTAAAACTCTTATTAGCGACCTTTCTTCCTTATGGCGCTCAAGGCAACTTACAATATAGAAATAAAATACATAAAATAGAATATATATAAATACGTAAAACTGGTAAGAATATTTAAGCCACTTAACATAACATAAGAACATAAGAGACGCCAATGTTGGATCAGGCCAAAGGCCCATCCAGTCCAACACTCTGTGTCACACAGTGGCCAGAAATACCAGGTGCCATCAGGAGGTCCACCAGTGGGGCCGGGACATTAGAAGCCCTCCCACTGTTGACCCCCCCCCAAGCACCAAGAAGACAGAGCATCACTTGCCCCAGAGCCTCTATCTATACCTTGTGGCTAATAGCCACTGATGGACCTCTGCTCCATACTTAAAATACTGTGTTATCGAGGTATCATGATTGTTGATGATTCAAAAGTGAAGCCGGGGTGCAAGACTTGGATTTTGTGGCAAGAATTGTAAATAGGGAAACCAGGTACGCACAGATCTGGAGTATGTTGTGCAAGATTTTGATTGGACAGTGTTCAATGTGTCAGATTCACCACAGACTTAATGATCATTTTGTAATTGTTTTTCGTTCATGCTTTACTAAGTACTGCATTGTACTTTATTTTAATCTTCAATAAATAGTTTAATTTTTTTTAAAGAAGTGAGGGGCCAGGGGCACCTCCCTGAGGAGGCTTTCCGTAATCATGAGAGTGCCACCAAAAAGGTCCTCTCTTGCATGCTCACCAGACAAGCTTCTTTGATTGGTCGGACAGTCAGGAAAGCCTTTCCCTCTGCCTTTGATCTTAATTCCCAGGCAGGAATACATGGGAGAAGGCAGTCCTTCAGATATCCCAGTGTCACGCCATGTAGGGCTTTAAAGGGCAAACCAACACCTCAAATTGGGCTCAGAAGCTGATCGGTGGCCAGTGTAATTTCTGTAACATTCTGTAATCCCAATAACTGGCCCCAACCAGCAGTCTAGTCACAGTATTCTGTACTAGCTGCAGCTTCTGAAAGCTCTCCAAGGGTAGCCCCAAGTAGAGCATATTGCAACAGTTTAGATGACACTAAAGCACGGATCATTGTGATTAGATCTGACTGACAGATGAAGGTGACACACCAGCCAAAGCTGGGCAAAAGCACTCTGGACTAGGGGTGTGCATTTGGATCTACCTGAGCTGAAAATATACCCCAAAAATACCTTATCAGTATTTTTCGGGTATATTTCGGCATCCCAAAGATATCTGGGATTTTTTTTGGGGGGGGGGAGTTCCTGAAAAAATCCCAGATATATTCGGGGTAGATCCAAAAAACATCGGAGAGGCTGAAACACATTACTCCCGCCTCTTAGCTGTTTGTCGAGCTTTCTACTGAAGTCCCTTTAAAGTTTAAAGGGACTGCAGAAGCCAGTTTGAGGATCACCTGAGCTGGTGAGAAGCAGAGTGCTCCCGGCTGGCTCAGCTTCCCACAGGCTCAGCTGAGCTTAGGGCTGGCTTCCCCTGCAGCCTCATTTAAACGGGGCAGCAGGAGAAGCCAGCCCTAAGCTCAGCTGAGCCAGCGGGAAGCAGAGCCCCTTCCGTCTGGGAGTAAAGATGAAGTGCAGGGTAGATTTCAACTTCCCAGTGAACTTTCTGGATGTTCCTTTAGTTTTGTGTGGTGGACAATGCCCAAGCTAAAAAGGTAAATTGTATTTCTCTCTAGCAACACTGACCGTGGAATGCTGTCTGAAATAACTAGGTGTCATGATAAAGACAAGCAGGGGTCATTTCGTAGAAAAAGAGGTGCAGGAGCTCATTAGCATAACTCATTAGCATAACTTATTTGCATGTGACACCCCCCCTGACATCACCAGAAGTGTGTCAGATGGCAACACCCACCGCTCAGGCTCCACTGGACCGTTTTGGATTGCTAGCTATTGGGGGGGGGGGACACGTGTAGATTTGTCCTCGCAAGCAGATCTGTCCTCTCAGAGGAGGGAGAGCTTGTACCTGAATAAAACTTGGTCTTAAAGGTGCCACTGGACTGTTTTGGGCCAGGGGGCGGGGGGGGGCTCTGCAGCTTGCCTGGCTGCTTCTTGCTCTGACTGAGGGCTGCTGGGAGCAGGGGGTGGGGCTTGTTGTATGTGCCCACCCCCTGGGCTCTTTACTGCCGGAGCTCTGCTCCCGTGCACTCCTGCAGGAAATGAACTCTGAAGACAACCAATAGGTAACCAACTGGGACTCCACTATATCAGGGGGTGGGGGAGGGACAGACATAAGATTTTAAGCTCACAGCTGGTGATAAAGAGGTATCTCAAGAAGGACTGGATCACACAACAAATATTTGTACACTGCAAAATACAAAACATAGGAACATGGGTCTTTTTGAAAGTTTGAAAATATAAACTTCCGTATTTTGAAATTCCTACCACATATCGGGTAAGGCCTAAACCCAATGGCTCAACATGGGCTTATTCACATCCTTGTCTCTACTGCCTGTTTCCATGATGGGAGGCAGCACAGGCTTCCATTAGGCTGGCTCGTTTCCACAGTGTTACATGTCATATCCAGAGGTTCTCCTGCCATGGGGCATTGTTAGGAAAAGGGATAACAGGGCTAATTTTGGATGGGGGTCTGCATTGGCGAGGATTCTGAGCCCTGTTGTACTTTCTCAGTGACATCAATGGAAGCGCACCAGGATAGGCGCGATAATTTATTTATTTTTTAGAGAAAACACCTTGCCTAAAATTGAATGGACCGGGGAGTGGAGGAATTCTCCATCACAACAGATTCTTCACCAGTTCCACAACTGGCATTACAAATAAATACTCCAGGGAGCTGAATCAGCTGTCAGCCTTACTCTTCACCGCGTACCTCATACAGACGCACTAAAACTTCATTTTTAGAAAACAACACCAAAATGCATCTGCAGTTCGATCTGCCAAAAATACAATGCAAAGCTGCTCCAATGATTGGGGGGGGGGACATGTGTATATGTGCTATCCAGTAGATACCCTCTGTGACGGATAGCACAGAAAAGCAGGCTTTTCCAAATGCTACTTGTATCAGAGAGTCAGGGAGTTCTAGAATTAATCTTCCCTGGAGAGTAGAGCTAAGGTGACTGGCCGCTCTGCTCACTCTCTGATTGGCCAGCATCAGCTGAGAGAGGAAATAAAACAGCTGATCTGGAGGGAAAAGGGGTCTTTTGCAAACTGGTCTTTTGCTGTTTGGGCTTTCTAAAGTCTGGATCAGTAGCCAGAGGGTTTGGCTTCTGAGGGAAGGCACATATGGGAGTCACTGTTTTCTGACAGGCAATAGTCAGAAAAGTACTTCTACAAAGAGAAGAAACCCTAATGTCTTAGAGATATTAAAATCGCTCTGAGGGAGAACTTTAGTTTCTCAGTCAGAAAAGCTACAGAACAGCCTTATACAGACAAGGATACTGGAGAAGGATTTGGCAGAAGGTCTGGGCAGTTAGAGAGAACTCCCATACAAGCCAAATAGTAGAAGGAGTTATTGCTTCTTAGGGACAAGGAGCATAACTTCCTGCCAGTGAAAAAGGTTGGGAAGAGAACCCTGGTCTGTGATAAAGGGGAGGAGCTTAGACACCTCAGGAGTGAATGAAAAGCTGTATTATGTAAAGGAAAACCTGTAATATCTGAAGGAAGAAATCTAGAAACATCAATAAGAACCGTGTTGTGCTGAAATATACTAAACAAAGTACCTTTCAAAGAAAGAAACAGAAAGCCTTGAAACCAACTACAAATACACTCTCTTGAATGTTCTAAGAAGTCAACCTTGTAAATATTAGAAAGTTTTTACCTCAGCAATCTCAAAACCTTGACTATTCCATTTATACATATATTCCCTGCCTGTCTAATAAAATCTTTATTCTGTTTTTGAAAGTTAATTTGCCGCAAGTGCCATCTCTCAAGGGTTTAAAGAAAACTTAACAGCTCCTGTATTTCCAGTACAGTTCCTGAACTGAGAAAAAAGCCTAAACTAAATATCTAAACATAGAGTGGGACGATCAAGTCTTTTATGACAAAGAATATATACATGCAGCATGAGGGCAACTCAGTCACTAAGAGGAACTGAAGATTTGGTGGGGGAAATCCAAACAGTTGGGGAGATACAGGGGTTCGTCACACCCTCCATGCCCTACTTCCTCCCACCTTAGTTCAAACTGGTCAGGCCAGAAACTTGTAGGACCAGATTATCACTCAGTTGCCTCAAGAGAGGAAAAAGTTAAGTTTATACTGAATATAAAGGTAAAGGTAAAGGTTCCTTTGCTCGGAAGCCAGTCGAATCTGACTGTAGGGTTGCGGTGCTCATCTCCGTTTCAAAGCCGAAGAGCCAGCGCTGTCCGAAGAAATTTCCGTGGTCATGTGTCCGGCATGACTAAACACCAAGGCGCACGGAACGCTGTTCCCTTCCCACCGAAGTGGTCCCTATTTATCTACTTGCAATTTCTTGCTTTCAAACTGCTAGGTTGGCAGGAGTTGGAACTAGGGACGGGAGCTCACTCCGTCATGCAGCAACTCGGGTCTCAAACTGCTGAACTACCAACCTTCCACAGCCTGCAGTTCAGCGTCTTAACCACTTGAGCCACCGCAGCTCCTATACTGAATATAGCAAGGTGCTTTTATACCAGCCCTAATACTGTGAAAATATTATATCTGTGGTCACACAAAACAAATGATTCTCAGCAACTGAACATAATTACCATTTATGCTAATTACATACATTGGGGGGGCAATGAGAGAATTCTTCTCCAATCTGTTTATTCTGTGCCTTTGCCAGTGTTTGAAATACAAAGGAAAGGACTGTAACTGCAGCCCACTTCCTATTCTTATAGCGACAAGGGAAGAAGAGGTCTCCAAAAAGAGTAACAGAGCACGGCTCAGCTACATGCGGAAGTAGCAGGGGAGCAGGGGGAGAGCGGAAGGATTTTACAGTATACAAGTCTGACCTTCGGATATGGTTCAGCCAACACAAGCAAAAGCAATAACCAGGAGAAGGTCCGTTGTGCATTTGCATTTTAGAAAGCAGCTGACTGGACTACATGAGATGGTGGTTCAACAAGAACAAAGCTTTTGGTTTTGTTTTAAATGCTGTTGTTGGATACTAAGAAGACAGGCTGACTGCCTATAATGTAGGGAGACAGAGGGTTTAGTTAAAGCATCAGTTGAAAGTTGGCTACAACTTAGGGCTCTTTAGCTTGGAGAAAAGACGAGTGAGGGGTGACATGATTGAGGTTTATAAGATTATGCATGGGAAAGAGCAGGCAGAGAAAGAGGTACTTTTCTCCCTTTCTCACAATACAAGAACTCGTGGGCACTCCATGAAATTGCTGAGCGGTCGGGTTAGAACGGATAAGAGGAAGTACTTCTTCACCCAAAGAGTGATTAACACTTGGAATTCACTGCCACAGGTAGTGGTGGTGGCTACAAGCATGGACGGCTTCAAAAGGGAATTAGATAAACATATGGAACAGAGGTCCATTAGCCACAAAGTATAGATAGGGGCTCTGGGGCAAGTGATGCTCTGTCATCTTGGTGCTTGGGGGGGGGTCAACAGTGGGAGGGCTTCTAATGTCCTGGCCCCACTGGTGGACCTCCTGATGGCACTGGTATTTCTGGCCGCTGTGTGATACAGAGTGTTGGACTGGATGGGCCTTTGGCCTGATCCAACATTGGCATCTCTTATGTTCTTATGTTCTTACAATCAGCAGGCTATAATGATCTTATTCCCAGCTTCAACTATATCAGGCAGGAAAAGCTATGGACTGGATTCAGCAGAAAAAAGCTCTCACAATTAGTTGGCACAGTGCACCTTTCTGTCTTTCCCAAGCAGCCTGCTGCCCATCCTGAAAATCCTCCTTGAGGGTCAGGGGAGCCTCACAAAACAGACCACGTATAGGGTTGCTGCAGCAATGAGGGGGAAATTGTCTCTTCTTCCAAGGTTCCCACTTTATAAGAAGAGCACTGAGAGAGAACTGTGACTTGCCAAAGACATTCTAGTGTGTTAATGACTGAGATGACATAAATATCCATCATCCAACAGATCGCACTATATATTTAAAGAGAGAAATTTAGGTCCTGTCAGACATAAGGTTCTTATGTAGAGCTATATACTTCTTCCATAGAATAGTTTCTTTCCCATTTCTATGTTAAGTGGTTTTTAAAATCTGGTGTTTTAAAAAACGAGCACATGCACTGAGATCTACAAGTTAAGGAGATAAGATATTAACCAACTGTGACTAAGATTATTTAATTGTTCTTATACTTACTTGTCTGGATTTTTCACTCTGAATGTTGCATTAAGAGCTTTTATTCTTGAATCTGACTGGGGGGGGAGGAACACATACACAAGTGTTATTAATTTATTGAAATCTGTAATCATAATAAGCACCAAAGACAAAGTGCACCTCTGAGTTTTCAAACAGCTTGCACGTATATTATATCACCCGTACATTAAAATAATTATGAAATTGGTTCAACAGAAGACCGGTAGAAGTGTTTTGACTCCATGCTTCACACATTACCGAATGGCTACAGAAAAGGCTCCTTGATGTAGAAATGGTTAAATATGGATACTGTGCAATCTTACTTGCGCAAAGCACAATTAAGTATATATTTTTAAATTTCACATTTACTGTCATAAAATGCTGAATCTGTTTCACACGCACTACCACTGTAACGCTTACAATAAGTCTATAACAAAGGACAAACTACCCTATTGTGGCAAAGAGCAGTTCTTCAGGGAGGTGAGTTGATTGAGATCTGGAAAACAATGGAGGGGAGGAGGCTCTCTCCACTATTTACCAACAGACACTGCTTAGGAATATCTGTAGTGGCAAAACTACCATCAGGAGGCTCTCTCCACTATTTACCAACAGACACTGTTTAGCAATATCTGTAGGGGCAAAACTACCATCCGTTAACGCATCTGTACATCATGGGTAACCAGAGTTAGCTTTCAACCAGGATTGTTTAAGAAGGGAAGGTAGAGAAGGGAGGGGCAAGGCACATGTTTAGCCTGGTTTCAAGCCAGCTTCACATATATCACGTGCTTAATGTTCACTTGCTGGGATGTCTGCATGCAGCAGTAATTTTAATATTTTACAAAATGTATTTTTCTTTGGTTCTGTCGAGCTTCAGTTTCGTTTCTTTATCATTGACTTCACTGCTTGCCGTAGTATTGAGGGGAGGGAATTCCTGAGGCGAGTGTATGGGGTGTTGAGAGTGAATGCTTGTAGTAGCCACAACCATTTCTTTAAGCTGTGCCCCAGTACCAGTTCCCATGAGAGCTGACCTTGGAGACACTTCTGACATGCTGGAATACATAGGGCGCCGTATATCTGCCAGGGTTTCCACAGTGACCTAGGGGCTGGATGATGACGTATGCATGAGATGCGGGGTGTTAACTGCCTTACCTATAACTGAGGAATTTTCGCGCCTTTTCTCAGTTCTGACACAGAGCATGTGTCCAAATGTAAGCACATCTCAATAAACTACCACTGCTTAAGTGTGTTGTGGAGAGTGTCTTAACAGGGAGTCCTGACAGGTTCCTGATTTCAGCTCTTACGGAATGAAATTAATTCCTCCCCTCTGCCCTTCATCTCAAATTATGTGCCCCGCTGAGGAGAAGCAAGTGGCAGCTGCAGGAGACAGCTGACAGGAGCAAAAATTTTGGCAGCGTCCATTATTTTACTGTCTTCCTCTTCTCCTTGCCCCAAGTAGCTGGGATGAAACTACATTTCTGTGCGCCTTTCTCGGTGCCTGTTTGCTAGCTCTTCTCCATGGCTGGCCTGTGGCTGCATAGTCCCATGCGGGACTGCACAGAAGCCACAGAAGCCACGAAGATGAACTACAGTTCCCAAATGCAGCAGACACTACAGAGATGCTATCCACTGGGGTGGGGAGTGAAAGAGATTAGAACCAAAAACTTCCCTCCCTGTGAATGCTTTCCACCTTCACCACTCCCCACCATGAGCACAGGTAATCCACAGTGCTCCTGATGACATTCATAGATGTGCCCTCAGGTTTCAAGTGTTCCAAAAGTCTGAATACAACAAATGTTTTGACAGTTTATCCTCTCAAAGTCTGATTTGTGTGGGCTAGAAATTATGGTGAGCTGTGGGTAGCTTGTTCCACTCATCTGTAGTAAAAATACTGTCCTATATTTAATGCATATAGGCTTTTTAAAAATTCCTATTGCTCCGTGAAGCATGTGTCACAGCCTACCATAAATACTCCCAAGATAGTAAAAATATGCAGGAATTCTTGCAGTTTCGAAGCATCCACTTCTGCTTGGAACATTGCCGTAATGGCTTGCAGCAAACATAGCAATACTATTCAAAGATGAAGTTTTTAGTTCAAGAGAAACCACGCCTGGTATTTGCAAGGGGTACATGGATCAGGGTAGCCGACACGTCACAAGCACCATCGTATTCTGTATGTTTACAATATTATACTATGACCTTGAGTTACCAAAGTATTCTATATGATTTCTTCTATATCACTTTAGAGTTATGACTCTATAAATTAATTTTACCATTAACCACAATAAGACACACTATAAGTATATAATTACCTTCAGCTGAAACCCTGTTTCATTCACCTTTTCCTTCCATCCACCTTCCTAGAAATTGAAATTTTATTTCAATTGTTAGTCTCAAAACGGTATGAATGCGAACGTTAGTTCTAAACACACTGGTTCAATAATGTTCACTAACCTCAAGCCAAGCTAGATACATTGAACAACCAAAACAAAGCCTGAGATCTCTCAAAACCGTTTTGTCTGTTGAAGACATTTGTAAGGTAGATTTTTAAAAAATCCATAGAAGTTACTAGCCCACAAAACCTTTTACTAGCCCTTCTGTTCTCACTTGCCAGTATAAGTCATTCGAAATACATCACACTTCTTATCTTGACTGCTTGCAATCGCTTTTTACGCAGCCACTAGTTACCAGTCTAGCATAACAAAAGCCAGGCTATATATTATACGTGTCACATGAAATACAGCCCAATTTTGCTGTTCAGAACTCTGAAAAATTCCTCAATGGCTTCGTCTCTATAGGCAAGAAAATCAGGAGCCGCTTGAAGTCATACCTGGGGCAGGGCTTTTTTTGTAGAAAAAGCCCAGCAGGAACTCATTAGCATAATAGGCCACATCCAACAGCAGAAACTCATTAGCATATTAGGCCACACCCTGAGATAGCAGCTTATTAGCATATTAGGCCACACCAGAAGTGTGGTCATCCAGCCACACCCACCTTTTGCTTCTTATTCTATTTACTTTGTTTGTTATCAAAACCCAGGGCTTTTTTTGTAACAGGAGCCCTTTGCATGTTAGGCCACACACCCCTAATGTAGCCAATCCTAATGAGTTTCTGCTGTTGGGTGTGGCCTATTATGCTAATGAGTTCCTGCTGGGCGTGGCCAACTCAGAAGCCAGCCGGAACTCCGTTCCTGTGAGTTCCTGCCCAAAAATAGCCCTGCCTGGGGGAGAGAGGAGCCGCAGTCAGGCTCCACTGTTATGTTCAGTTACCCATGCAGTATCCAACATTCCCTGTTCTACCCAATCCCAACCACTGGGACTGATTAGCTTTCAGAGAGATATCAGAGCCAGTCAGTGGCTCCTAAAAAAAATTCCCTACAAGATGATTTCAACCCCTACAGGTTTCTTTGCCTGTATAGAACTTTTCAAGCTTCAAGGCAGAGCAAAACTGCTTTTCACGAGTATAACAAGTGACGAGTACAACATGCAGCCTGACTTTTCGATATACTACCGACCAGGACAGACGTTTTCCCTGAATAACTCCCCCCTCCAAAATCCAATTTTCAAAAATCTACAAAGAATCTTATTAACCATCCACACATGGCCAACTGGGTTTTCCTTTTTTTACAAGAAAGTTCTGTTGTAATGAATAACACCTATAAAGGGTGGATGATGACATAGCACTAAAGAGCAAGATGGGTAGCTGTGTTAGTCTGTCTGTAGCAGTAGAAAAGAGCGAGGGTCTACTATCTGAAGCATCTGAAGCATCTGAAGAAGTGAGCAGTGACTCACGAAAGTTCATGCCCTGCCACATATTTTGTTAGTCTTTGTGTTTAGTCATGCCGGCCACATGACCACGGAAACATCTTCGGACAGCGCTGGCTCTTCGGCTTGGAAATGGAGATGAGCACCGCAACCCTAGAGTCGGATTCGACTGGCTTTCGAGCAAGGGAACCTTTACCTAAGGTGCTACTGGACTCTTGCTCTTTTCTATGGCACTAAAGGAGACATCTTTTTGATAGGCAGAATGGGAGAAGCGGTTTTGTTCAGCACAAGAGGGAGAAGGACACCGAGGTCAATACCCTATGAGTAAGGCTTAGGGAGGCTGCTGGTTCCCCCGGTTTTTGGAAACCCTGCTGTACAAAAGTTCCAATGCTCCTTGCAGGCAGGTCTCAGGGGGCAAAGCTGGGAGGCTTGCTCTACCCATGGCCATAAATCTATGGGATGAAATAGGATTCTGTTTGGTTTAATGTTTACATGAAAAGGTTAACTGGTGAATCAGAGGGAGCAGTTATCAATACAAGACACAGATCTTTCTCTCAGTAACATTTAATTCCAGGGAGGCAGTGGAAACCCTCCACTAGTACCTGGGATCAGTGAAGGGTGGGACTGGAGTGAACAAACCAGAACTCAATCCAGACAAGATGGAAGCACTGTGGATTGGGGATAAAGCTGTTTCATAAATATGCACACAACTTGCTTTGGTTGGGGCTGCACTATCCCTGAAAGAGCCAGTTTGGTGAAGTGGTTAAGTGTGCGGACTCTAATCTGGGAGAACCGGGTTTGATTCCCCACTCCTCCACTTGCACCTGCTGATGTGACCTTGGGTCAGTCGCAAGCTCTGGCACAGCTGTCCTTGAAAAAGAGCAGTTTCTGTCAGAGCTCTCTCAGCCCCACCCACCTCACAGGGTGTCTGTTGTGGGGAGGGGAAGGGAAAGGAGTTTGTAAGCCGCTCTGAGACTCCCAAGTGAAGGGCAGGGTATAAATCCAATCTCTTCTCTTCTTCTTTTACCTCACAGGGTGTCTGTTGTGGGGAGGGGAAGGGAAAGGAGTTTGTAAGCTGCTCTGAGACTCCAAGTGAAGGGCGGGGTATAAATCCAATCTCTTCTTCTTCTTCTTCTGAAAGATCAGGTTTGCAGTCTGGGAGTTGTTCCTCAACTAATTACCACTTGTGCTTAAGTTACAGAGGTGGCCAGCAGTGTTCCCTCTAAGCTGAGTTACTGTGAGCTAGCTCACGGTTTTTTAGCCTCTGGCTCACACATTTGTGTCTTAGCTCAGGAAGGATGGCTCCAGAGCAAACTCATTTATGCAGTAGCCAAATCGCTCGCTCACAACTTTAATGCTGGTAGCTCACAAAGTAGAATTCTTGCTCACAAGACTCCACAGCTTAGAGGGAGCATTGGTGGCCAGAAATGTATTTTCCCAACTTTGGCTGGTTTACCAGTTGTGGTTCCTGTCACACATTCTTTGGGTTATTAGAGCTGCCTCGAAGGATGTTTTGAAACTTTAACTGGTACAAAATGCAGTAGCCAGGATTTGAAGGAACCCATCTGAGATTAGGCCAGTTTGGTGTAGTGGTTAAGTGTGCGGACTCTGATCTGGGAGAACCGGGTTTGATTCCCCGCCCCTCTACTTGCACCTGGCTGGATGACCTTGGACAAGCCGTAGTTCTGATAAGAGCTGTTCTTGAAAAAAGAGCCGTCTCTGTCAAGAGCTCTCTCAGCCCCACCCACCTCACAGGGTGTCTGTTGTGGGGAGGGGAAGGGAAAGGAGTCTGTAAGCCGCTCTGAGACACCTTTGGGTAGTGAAGGGTGGGGTATAAATCCAATCTCTTCTCTTCTTCATCATGATTAATGCATTTGACCAGTAGTTTTTTCAAATGTACTAGTTCCCAATGGTTTCAGGATTTAATTCAAAAGGCCATCTTTAAAGCCCTAAATGGCTTGGGGCCAAAAGATCTGAATAACTGCCTGCACCCCAGTGAACCTGACCAAGACTTGAGATCAGCTGACAGTGCCCTACTGAGGGGAACCTGAACTGGCAACACTGGCAAGTACTTAGGGGCTTTTCAGCCACTGCTCTCAGGTGATGGAACTCCCTACCCCAAGAAGTATGGTTGTTCCCACCCAGAGACATGCTTATTCTTACATAGAAAGCAGATTTGCTTCCTCGGATCTTTCAGAACTCTCCTTCCGTGCTCCTTACTATTTTTGGCTTTCCATTTTCGCTTTCTTCATGACTGATTTTCTATACTGCGGTTGGAACATTTTTCTTACGACTGTTGTTTTTCTTGTTACTGTAGGCTACCTTGAACATTCTTGAGAACAGAAAGTGGGCTACTAATTCCATAAAATAAGTTAACATGAAATAATAGCAGACTTTATAAACTCCAGCACAGTCAATGCTATAAAAGTATAACCTACTGAAGCTTGTTTTTCAGTTTTCCCCAAATACAGCTTAGCTAGAAGGCAAACTTTATATCTTAAAACTGGTCTGGACTATAAACCATGATAAGCAGTATTGATTAAATGACATGACACAAAGTAAGAGCATAAAACACTCTGGCAAATTTCTACTGCGACCTAAAATTAGAGCTAAAGACAATATGTGAATAGCTGAAACAAAATTATTTACAGAGACGCATATATTATGAATTAACATCAAGACATTACTTTTTAAACAAATACAGCAGAACGGTATTCTATTAACCCACCTGGGTTAAAAATGCATTAAAAATTCTGTCTTGGCAAAGGAGAGGATGTGAAGCCACACGTAAGAGAAAATTTTCCAAGCCGATTCTTCGTCTTTCCACAAAGTCTGGATCCATGTTATCTGCTGATAACTTATGCCACACAAACTCTGCCTGTGGAACAAGGGACTGTGTTAAAGGCAAGGCTGTGAACACTCCATTTAAAGAAAACACAAAGAAGTTCTAAATTCCACAATTGAAAGGCGGGGATATTTGTAAATTAAGCACAGTGACAGAATGGCCTGGTTCAGGTATTTCCAGAGGGATAGCCCTGTTAGTCTACTGTGGCAAACCAAAACAGATGCCCAGTGGGCACCTCACAGACTATATATTTCAGCATAAGCTTTTGTAAGAGATCTGACTTATGCTGGAATAAATACTGTTAGACTTTGAGGTGCCACTGGACTTCTGCTTTGGTTCAGGTATAACCAGGGCTCTTTTTGTAGAAAAAACCCAGCAGGAACTCATTAGCATAATAGGCCACACCCAACAGCAGGAACTCATTAGCATATTGGGCCACACCCCTGACAGCACAGCTCATTAGCACATTAGAAGTGTGGTTATCCAGCCACAACCACCTTTTGCTTGTTATTGTTTACCTTGTTTGTTGTCAAAACCCAGGGCTTTTTTGTAGCAGGAACTCCTTTGCATGTTAGGCCACACACCCCTAATGTAGCCAATCCTAATGAGTTTCTGCTGTTGGGTGTGGCCTATTATGCTAATGAGTTCCTGCTGGGCGTGGCCAACTTGGGAGCCAGCCGGAACTCCGTTCCTGTGCGTTCCTGCCCAAAAATAGCACACAGATGATCATTCAGATTCTGGTTTGCCTCAACAAGTGCTGCTTCCATTATCTTTCGCCACAGAGAATCCCAGCTACTATCCCAGTCTGTGTTGGGCAGCACTGATGTATAAGCCGGGATGTCTGCATTTGCACATCATGCGAAACCAATGTTAAGAGTACCTCCAAATCACGATTTCAGATCCTACCTTGAAATACCCTAACCCAACCATAATTAGCAAAATGATCACACTAATCACAGTTTGTTCCATTGAACCATGGTTTTGTGTGACATCTGAACTGAACAGACACTACACACTTGTATAAGGTAATTAATTCAGCAACACTAAAGCCTTGAGCTCTGACCACCAGAAATCTAACCAAGCTTGACCTCTGATATCTCAGTAGGCTACACACTTAAAAGCTTATCTTTAAAATTAAAAGACTGCTCTTTTAAAAAAACCACACTGAAAGTTAAGATTTTCATAATATTAAACCCTAATTTATTTGCTTGACTGGAACAATAATGGAACAATTACACAGTCTTGGATAAATGCAAGGATGCACGTCCTATAGGCAGAGATGCAGAAAACAGAATGAGATAAAGTTGCTAAGTTTTCTTACTCGTTTTTCTGGCAATGGTGGAACAATGACATGAGGGTAGTTAACCAGCAAATAATTCCTCAGCAACTCAAATTCACTGTATCGTCTCCAGAGAGAATCTGGGGGGGAACCGTGACCTTCTGCCTGCAACTCCACAGCCCTGAAATACAGCATTCTCTCTTCAATATTATAATCAATACAAATGTCACAATTCAGAGCCATAAAAGATCGCTTGAGAAATTCTGTGGTAAGGTTATTACAGTGGTCTTTGAAGTGACATAATCTTGGCAACTGGACTGTGGAAAAACCGCTTACCACTTACACTAAGTTTCACTACTAATGCTGTTACAGTTCTCTTGTGACTGCTTTGACAGTCTTTTGTATGCAGTTGTGTCCTAATGTATTTTACCTATATACAAAACCGTATGTCAGTGTTAGATTAAACAAGGGCTTAAAAAAAATAAACCAATATACTCTGTAAACGGCAACAAAAACAAATCTGTTGTTGAATACACCATTTCAATGCCCACCCAGAACTTTACTAAGGTTCTGTCCCCATCAAGAAAGAAGACTTTCAAAGCATACTGTTCTTAGGTAAATACATACTGAGAAGAAGTAATACAAACTGTCAACAAGGCCTTTTGAAATCATCTACAAGTTGATTTCATGCACTGTATTAAACAGTGTCAAGTGCCGTAATTTCTTCCAGCAGGGTTTAACTGTGCAGTGTCAGATCAGAAACTGCTACTTTTTGTTATTTGTGGAAAGAAATTCCAAAAGCAAGACTATCTTTTTACGTTCTTTCCAAAGTGTTAGCCCTGCAACCCCCATCATCAGAGGTCAGCATGGGGCAAATGTGGACAAAGTGCCCTCATGCACACTCTTGGCCCATGATTGGCAATCTTCCAGAACCAGCATAGTTGATCATGGGTAGTGGCATACACATGGTAAATACATGGTGGGGTCATCTGTACTGGATTTGTGATTCTCACAGTAAAAAGGTAAAGGTAAAGGTTCCCTTGCTCGAAAGCCCGTCGAATCCGACTCTAGGGTTGCGGTGCTCATCTCCGTTTCCAAGCCGAAGAGCCAGCGCTCTCCGAAGATGTTTCTGTGGTCATGTGGCCGGCATGACTAAACACCAAGGTGCACGGAACGCTGTTACCTTCCCACCGAAGTGGTCCCTATTTATCTACTTGCAATTTCTTGCTTTCGAACTGCTAGGTTGGCAGGAGCTGGAACTAGAGACGGGAGCTCACTCCGTCATGCGGCACCCGGGTCTCGAACTGCTGAACTACTGACCTTCCACAGTCTGCAGTTCAGCGTCTTAACCACTTGAGTCACGTGGTCAGCATGGGGCAAATGTGGACAAAGTGCACAGGGCCCAGACTATTCTTTGTTTGTTGTTTATTACGGTCTTTAGACCAGCATACAGTTTAATCAGACATAAAATACAATAATAAATATTCTAATTTAAGAGCTTTTAAGGTGCAATTCCCGTAATTTGAAAATTAATGCACAAAATTCAGCAACTTGACATGTGACCTTAGAATTATTGCCGGGTAAAAACCAGTGAAGCCTTGCTTTATTTGTGTTTATATGACCAGGGATCATATCAAGTAACAGAGAAATAATTCCAAGACGCACCTCCCTGTAGAATAGACACCTAAACAACATGTGCTCTACAGACTCAACCTCCCCTATGGAGCAAGAGCATAACCTTTCTGGGTAGGGAATTTAATATTATTCTAGCACCCTTTGGCATAAAGTAGGTTATTAATTCTACCCCATGATCCTGTCTTGAGACTGGGAGAAGGGGTTACTGAATTACAGCTAGTGGCTGCTTGAAGTGCAAAAGTTTTGATGCAGAGGTTAACACAGCAGTGAGCTTGTGGTGAAAGTTCTGTCCCCCTTGGCATGTTCAGCATTTAAAGTTATACACCCATATTTCCACATTAATAATGAATATTCTTCCTCAGTTTGTGTTCTTGTAAATAAACTTTGCTCACTCCCCTTTTTAAATGGAAAAACAATTTTGCCCTGTCAGATTTTTACCTCTCCACTTCTTGCTGTAATTCCCCAGTGCAGTGGGGGAAGACAGGAAAGTGACAGAAAATACTTTAGTTCTAGGGAATTGTCACATCCCCTAGAGCACATCACAAGAAACTTCTGTACATTTTGTACATCTCCCATATTCTCTCCATAACATCACCAATAAAATCCAAAACAGTCAAAACACATCTTCTATTGTGTTGTTCATGTCTGCCCAGCTACTCCTAACAATGGTGTCTACAACAATGATAATGTATAAATAATGAACAGCAGCAGTAACAGCAAACAAGATGTACATTATACCTTGTGGAACGACTATAACTTGTTTCATTTCCTTGCTCTGGAATGGTCAAGAGTTCTATCGGGAGGGCAGCTGCAAGAATGCAGGACCAGAGCACAACATTTTTACTGCCAGCTGTGTTACTTGCATCGTGATTACTAAGCAAGTCTTAAAATCTCCTTATCCCCTAAGACCAAACTGAGCACAGTTTTCTCATTTTATACATTAACCTAAGTTTTAGTAGGGTGCCTGTAGTAATAATCTGTAGTAGTAGAACAAAATTCGAGCCCAGTAGCATCTTAATGAGCAATTCCCCCCCCCCAAGGACTCGACTGTGCTACTGAACAACAACAACAAGGCATAAACTTTCATCAGATACAGATCATAGAATTATAGAGCTGGAAGGGGCCATACAGACCATCTAGTCCAACCCCCTGCCCAATGCAGGACCAGCCTAAAGCATCTCTGACAAATATGTTAATGTGGCACAAAGGCAGCGGCAAAGCTCCACTTACTGGGCGAAAGGCAACAGCTGCTCCAGGATAGGGTAGGGCACCCCAAGAGAAGACAGTAGCAGCCCTAAGCAAACCCAGCTGGAGTGGGGAAAGCAAGGAAGGGGTTACGAGAGCAACAAGGCTCTGAGAAGGGCTATTATTATTATTATTATTATTATTTAGATTTATATCCCGCCCTCCCCATGAACGGGCTCAGGGCAGCTCACAGTTAACGGCACCATGAGCCGAATCAGCATAAAACATTTAAAAACAAGATAAAACAGTCATACATCATACAGTTAAAAGTGCTTGCAATGATAATCGATCTTCAGAGAACCAGTTTGGTGTAGTGGTTAAGTGCGCTCTAATCTGGGAGAACTGGGTTTGATTTCCCACTCCTCCATTTGCACCTGGCTGGATGACCTTGGGCAAGCCATAGTTCTGATAAGAGCTGTTCTTGAAAAAGAGCAGTTTCTGTCAAGAGCTCTCTCAGCCCCGCCTACCTCACAGGGTGCCTGTTGTGGGGAGGGAAAGGGAAAGGAGTTTGTAAGCCACTCTGAGACTTCCTTAGGTAGTGAAGGGCGGGGTATAAATCCAATCTCTTCTCTTCTTCTTCTCCTCAGTCAATTTGAAGTGGCGTGCAATAAATTATAGTACTTTAGTCTATAAGGAAGGCCAAGCACCGAAGAATAGATTATTTTGAATTATGGTGCCAGAGAAGACTCTTGAGAGTCCCTTGGACTGCAAGAAGATCAAATCAGTCAGTCCTAAAAGAAATCAAACCTGACTGTTCCCTGGAAGGCCAGATAATGAAACTGAAGCTCAAATACTTTGGCCACCAAATGAGAAGGGAGAGTTGGACTCGACTGTGCGACTGAACAACAACTTTAGTCCCGATTCACTAGTACTCCGACCTCTTGTGACACTGCGGCTCAAACTCATGAAGGGCCAACCTATTAAAGGTAAAGGTAAAGGTTCCCTTGCTCGAAAGCCAGTCAAGTCCGACTCTAGGGTTGCGGTGCTCATCTCCGTTTCAAAGCCGAAGAGCCAGCGCTGTCCGAAGACGTTTCCGTGGTCATGTGGCCGGCATGACTAAACACCAAGGCGCACGGAATGCTGTTACCTTCCCACCGAAGCGGTACCTATTTATCTACCTGCAATTTCTTGCTTTCGAACTGCTAGGTTGGCAGGAGCTGGAACTAGAGATGGGCGCTCACTCCATCATGCGGCACACTCGGGTCTCGAACTGCTGAACTACTGACCTTCCACAGCCTGCAGTTCAGCGTCTTAACCACTCATGAAGGGCCAACCTATTAATAATGATGGTAGTTGGTGGTAGAGGTGGGCGGCTCCTAATTAAAAGCCTGGTGGAAGAGCCCCGTCTTGCAGGCCCTGCAAAACTGTACCAGGTCCCACAGGGCCCTGATCTCCTCCGGGAGCTCATTCCAGTGCTGGGCTTGACCAGAATGGGTGAAGCCCCAGGGATAAAAAGGGATATGTCAGAAGAGACAAAAGGAGGAGAGGAGTGCAAGCTGGCTCTTCGGCTTTGAGAGGGTGCAAAAAAGGGAGAAAGAGGAATCTAAAGGAGGAGCTGGGGCCTGGGGGCAAGATAAGGATACCAGACTGGGAGAGGCCTGGTGGAACGGCCCCAAGGCAGAGGCACACCTCAGCCCCTCCCCAATGAGGTTTTAAGGAACAAGAAATAGGCAGGTGAAGGGATCTGCACTTGTGAGGAAGCCTGTGTGGACTTTGCTATAAAGAGGCTATTAAAGAACACAATTGTGTCTGGTAAGTCTCCTCTGCCTGTGGAAGTCAGTTATGAAGTTCTGCTGCCCTCTGGGGGGGGGCACAGTTAATCTAAGATAGGGGTGGCCAAATTGTGGCTCGGAAGCCGCATGTGGCTCTTTCACATCTATTACGCGGCTCCTGGCAGGGCGGCTGGGGAAGCTAAGTATTATTAGCAAAAAATTTCATTGGGCAAATATAAATATAATTATCAATATTTGCTTTTACCGCTTTTGTTATTATTTTTGGCAATCTCATTTAATGTTAATAAAAAAGCAAATCTGCATATTTGCCAGTAAAAACATGTAATATTTGTTCATGTCTTGCGGCTCTCGAAATCTGGCGTTTATTCTATGTGGCTCTTACGTCAAGCAAGTTTGGCCACCCCTGATAAGAGATTCCATAAAATTACTACCACCTGAACTGACAGAGGGAAGAAAGTCTCTTTCACTCAGAAGAAGAATTGGGTTTGTACCCCACTCTTCACTACCTGAAGGAGTCCCGGAGCGGCTTACAATCACCTTTCCTCCCTCTCCCCACAAGACACCCTGTGAGGTAGGTGGGGCTGAGAGAGCTCTGAGAGAATTGTGACTGACCCAAGGTCACCCAGGTGGCTTCATGTGGAGGAGTGGGGAATCAAACCCGGTTCTCCAGATTAGAGTCCTGCCTCTCTTAACCACGACACCAAACTGGTTCAGCTGATATGCCCAACTCCTACTGCTGAGCATAGCATCAGACTGTGTATCTACATGGCTAGCTTGAAAGGCAAGACTTGAGATCCATACATATTCACTATGTGACGTAAAGAGTTCTAATAACTAGGATTAGATTGTGTTAACAATCACTTCATATGCGATGGGAAATATATGCAAAATTTTGGGGCTGTGCACTCCAGGGCCCTAAAAATGAATGGATTTTTACTTTATTTTAAAGAAAGTTATTAAGTCTTATTTTCCTAAAAAGTTCACATTTCTTGAAATGAACTCTGACCATGATGAAGTTCTATACAGCAATCCACTCCCGCAACCCATACTTCAACTCCAAAGATCCACAAGCTGCTGGTTGCTCACATTGTAGCGCTATCCTATTATTTGAGCATCTATATCAGAGCACTAACTCATCTTCGTTATCACCACAGTGAACTTTCAGTGGAGCTAATTCCAGTCCACATCAAAAACAGCCTGAGGAACTGTGTACCGGCCTCCCCTGAATGATTAACCTACAAATGGGTTAACATGGATGGTCCTTCAGTTGCATGTCCCCATGTACACAAATGCACAGGTATATGTAAAGGTAAAGGTAAAGGTTCCCTTGCTCGAAAGCCAGTCGAATCCGACTCTAGGGTTGCAGTGCTCATCTCCGTTTCCAAGCCGAAGAGCCAGCGCTGTCCAAAGACGTTTCCATGGTCATGTGGCCGGCTTGACTAAACACCGAGGCGCACGGAACGCTGTTACCTTCCCACTGAAGTGGTCCCTATTTATCTACTTGCAATTTCTTGCTTTCGAACTGCTAGGTTGGCAGGAGCTGGAACTAGAGACGGGAGCTCACTTCGTCATGCGGCACACTCGTGTCTCGAACTGCTGAACTACCGACCTTCCACAGCCTGCAGTTCAGCGTCTTAACCACTTGAGCCACCGCAGCTCCACACAGGTATATGTATGGACTTCAAAACTTATATTGAACTGGCTTTTAAAACTACTGGTCAAGAATCAATCAGGTAATATATTTCTCATTTATTTTACCCACCTTGTTTCCACCAGGTAAGCTGTGTATGTTTCCTGCATGTTCATGGCATTTCGTCCAGTCCGTTTCTCTGCTTCTGAGACACTGATTTCTATTTTCTTTAACAAACAATCTTCCATCATCTTTTTAAAAACAGATAGAGAACTTTTAAGTATTAGGTATGGAGGAAAGTCCTTAAAAATTAAATACTGAACATGTGTAAAATCCTGTATAACTTATTAAATATTTATAAAACAGCAATGTACTTCTGGAACAATAAATACCTATTCAGTTTGTGGTGTGTTGAAATTGCCTTCTGCCCGATGGAAGGGAGCAAATGTAAGGTCAATGAGTTCTCAAACTTCAACGTGGTAACTGTCCACCCATACAATCAAGCAGCAAAACCTAATTGAGCCTCCCCAGTTACAGACAAGATGAAATCAAACTGCCTTGGCTTTCTACAGAATACATAAAACTGAATGATTCAGGAAGGCTTTTTGATATAGGTACTGAAATGAAATGGTTCAGAAAGATGATTTGGTACAGGGATAGGGACTGTACACTATACTACTGTGTTCTGTGTGCTGCTGTTAAGTATGCTCCTACTATGTAATTTCTGCATCATTTAACATGTCGTGTTTAAATGCTTATGCTTTGCTTCAGCTCTTTTCAGATTTTGGCAATCCAAACCTTAATGCATTGTTTACCGGATAACCCAGCGTGTTGATCATATTTGACTTTGCACTGTGTAATCCACCTTGAGTCTCAGTGGGTGTGTTCAGATGCGCCATTTGATCTGGTTGTCATGACCAGTGTTCCCTCTAAGCTGAGTTAGTGTGAGCTAGCTCACAGTTTTTTAGCCTCCTGCTCACACATTTTAGTCTTAGCTCAGGGAGGATGGCTCCAGAGCAAACTAATTTATGCAGTAGCTGAATCACTCGCTCACAACTTTAATGCCAGTAGCTCACAAAGTAGAAATCTTGCTCACAAAACTCCACAGCTTCAACAACGGATTTTATATGCACGATCACACAGTCAACATCTGCCTCCCATCCCCAGTCGTTGGTTTCCGGCTCAAAAACCCCTTTAACCCGGAGTGTTTTGTTACCAGGTCCCAAGTGGTGTTTTCTCAGTTCTCCCGTTTAAAGCCGCATTTTCCGCTAGTGTGATCGCTCCTCCGGTGTCAAGCCACTTCCGGTGGTTTAAACCCCCTCCCCGCTTCAAAGCTACTGCGGAAGCCCGAGGCTTCTGCTTTTCACCTGCCATTTTTTTAGCATTGGCGGTGTGCGCATAGGTGGAGCTCTGCTTCCGCATTTATAAAACCGACATGTAAACGGTCACTCATTTTAGCGTTTAGATGAGTTCAGGATCTCACGGAAGCCATTTTCGGGTCAAAAATTTAAAGGAAAGTCTTTTGTTGAAGGGGATGGATTGATTCACCCTGGTGGTTCTGCACATGCGCCATGATAGTTTTTTCCCCATTCTACGGAGGCGCACCTATGCGCATGTGCAAACTGAGGGGGGGGAAGCCAACACATGCTTGGTAGTGTAGACGCCGGGGAGCGATGTGACTGCACAGTGAAACAGGATAAGGGAGGTAAGTGTGATCGCGATTATCCAGATCAAAGATAATCGCGTCAGAACTGGACCAGTTTAAACCGCTCTCAGCACGCCGTCTGAACGCGCCCACCAAGAAAGCTGGACTATAAATAAATAATAAATAAGATCAATTATTCTGTAAGCAAATGACTATCAAAGTCCTTTGCTTTTTGTTAAGTGACCAAGGCTGGCTCTTTAAAAAACAAAAGGCAGAACCAAGTATGTGATTTCATGTCAAGTAGCCTCAATGGTGCAAGCAGCTTAAATCAGAGCACAAGGTAACCCTTGTGATGGCAGAAAAGCAGGATATAAATTTTGTAACAATAAAACAGAATAAAATTGTATTATGTCACATTCAAGTCCTCAATAACTAAGACCATTAATATTCATCTCCTTCAATCATAGCCGAAAAACAAGACTACAATAGAAAAGAGATAATGAAAAAGAAGGAGCTTGCTTCTTTTTCTTTCTGCTTTCTTGGACCTTCATGATGCTAGACAATCATTTAAACCAAATCTCACCACAAAAGTGAGGAGCTGCTTCACATACTATGCATTGAGTATACCACACTGTGCAGGAAAGTGTCATGATGGGCCATGCATCTCCAGCACACATACAGCACATCATACACAGCAACACAGATGTGTGCAGCCACTTGGAAGCATGGTAATTTTTTTTTAATGAACAGTTTGTGAATAGGTTAACTTTTATCCCGCTTATCTTCGAAGAAGCACAGTACACTACACAAAGATCCTCCCGATCATTCTGTTTTCCCAACAGATCTGTAAGGTACATTGGCCCAGTCACTGTTTCACATCATAAGGTTACAAAGCAAAATGGCAGATTCTTCACAGTCCTAACCAAGTATTAACCATTATATTTACCTATAATGCACTAAACAGCCATTTGGGGTTTATTTAGCTAAACTATGCCATTTCTCCTCCCAGACTGTTAGGTTCCAAATCACATACTCTTCTCAAGCTCTGACGCACAATAATTAAGAATAAGTAGGAATAAAGCGGTATTTGAAAAGCTTCATACTGCGCGGAGGGGGAAACCACCTTACTCTTCCTCCTTAGACCACCTTACTTTCCCTGTTATTATCTGGTTATTATCTATTATCTTGACCTTGGGATGTTCCAGCTGCTGGTTATTATCTATTATCTTGACCTTGGGATGTTCCAGCTGCTGTCGGCTTTAGTTGGGAACCAACGGCTTTTGCTTTTGCCCGCTTTCTTTCCCCCACGTGCGCAAACTTTGCTTACTGGCTTCAGCTTGTAACGGGGGTGTTTGAACCTAGTATAACTCAGGGTGCCATACTGTTCCTGGGCATTCCT